ATATGATCTAGATTTTAAATATCAGCAAGATTTTAAATTTAAATGTTAAAATAAGGAAGAATTGAAAGGAAAATTCTGGAAAAGCAAAGCAATGAACACAAGCAAGCCCAACCAGATACAAAAATGCATCATACTGTGAAGCTACAAAAATTAAAACAGTGGGATGATGCCCTGTGAACAGACAAATTGATGAAATAGAATAGAATGTCCAGTAATAGACCCAAATTCACATGGAAATTTATTTTATTTTATTTAGTTAATTCTCACCCAAAGATAATTTTTCCATTGCTTTTAGGAGGCAGTGGGAGGGAGGGGGATAGACAGAGACACATCGATTAGCTGCCTCCTGCATGCATCCCAAATGAGGCCGGGGATTGAACCTGCAACCCAGGTACATGTCCTTGACCGAGACTTGAACCCAAGACCCTTTGGTGCCTGGGCTGACACTAATCATTGAGCCACACTGGCCAGGGCACATGGAAATTTTGTATGATAAAGACATCTCCTTAGATCAGTAGGGAAATATGCATTATATAATAAATGGTGTTGAGACTCTGAATGGAAAAGAATATTGGGCCCCTACATCATACCCTCCACCAAAATCAATCCCTTATGGCCCTGGCCAGGTGGCATCCCCCCAATACACCAAGGTTGCAGGTTAGCTCTCTAGTCAGGGCACATACAAGAAGCAACCAATGAATGCATAAGTGGAACAACAAATCAATGTTTCTCTAAAATCAATAAATGAAAATAAAATTTAAATTCCCTATAGGATTTAATATCTTCTCATAACTAATGCAAGACACTGGGAGCTACCTAAAACATAAGGGTACAAAAAGACTGAAAGTGAAGGAATGGGAAAAGACATTATGCAAACATAAACCAAGTGAAAATTCTATAACAACATAGAGTAGATTTGAAAGCAAAAAGCATTACTAGAACCCTGGCTGGTTTGGCTCAGCAGTTGAGCATTGGCCCGAGGACCAAAGAGTCCTGTGTTCAATTTCCAGTCAAGGGCACGTACTTCGGTTGCAGGTTCAATCTTCAGCCCTGGTCAGGGTCGTGTGAGAGGTAGCTAATCGATGTGTCTCTCTCACATGATGTTTCTCTTTCTCTCCCTCTCCCTCTCTCTATCTGAAAATAAATGGGAAAAAATATCCTCTGGAGAGGATTTATTTTAAAAAAAAAAACAAAAAAACATTATTAGAAATAAAGATCACTTCATATCAAAAAGTTCCATTTACCAGGAAATTCTAAAGTTGTATGCACTGAACAACCTCAAACTACATAGAACAGGGGTACAAGAAAAAAATAGACCAGTTCATATAATGAGATTTAACCTCTTGTTCTTCAGTAGAGTGTACCTCTCAACCAATAGACCCACCCAAAAAAATCAGTAAGGATTAAAAAAAAATTAAATAACAGCAGCAAATTGGATTCAAGCATATATATTCCACTATACCTAACAACTGCAAATTAGAAATTATTTTCAAGCACACTTAGAACATTTTTTAAACTGGCCATATTGTGCTATAAAGCAAGTTTCAACACATTTCAGAGGACTGAAATTGTAAAGTGTTTCTTGCCCTCATTGCTATTAATCTAGAAATCAGTAACAAAAGGTAACCAGAAAGTCCTTATATTTAGAATTTATGAAATATACTTGTGAATAACCCCCCCAAAGTAAATCACAATTATAAAATAATCGCAATTTAAAAATAAACTGAACTGAATAAAAATACTAAATAACAAAGTTTATGGGGAAAATGTACCGTCTTTCCCCCCCCCCCAAATTATAAGAGAAAGTTTATTTAGAGAGTTACAAAGGTAGTAGAAGTGAGCCTGGCTTAAGGAACAAGTTACAGAAGCAGAAAGGTTCTTGGAGCTTAGGAGAGAGAAAGGCAAAGGGAACATCTGGGGGTGGGGGGTGGGGGAAAGGCCAGGCAGGTACCAGAGAAGGAGAGAGCTGAAAATGTGTAGCCTTAAGTGCACTTGTTAGAAAATTCTTAAGTTTTGCAACCATCTTAAGAATCTAGAATAGTGCCCTGCTTAGAGCGTCGGCCCACGGACCAAGGAGTCACAGGTTTGATTCTGATCAAGGGCACCAAGTACCTCAGTTGCGATTCTTCCAGGCCCTGGTTGGGGTCCTGCGGGAAGGCAGCCAGTGGATGTGTCTCTTTAACATCAATGTCTCTCTCTCCCTTCTCCTTCTCTCCCTTCCTCCCACTCTATTTGAAGATAAATGGAAAAATATCCTCGGGTGAGGATTTAAAAAATAAAAACAATATGAACAAAGAAATGACAAATAGGGAAAATATTTACAACTCATCACGAATGGCTAATCTGACTAATTTCTTTCATTTTAAACAACAACAACAACAACATGCAGCCCTGGCTGGTTTGGCTCAGCGGTTAGAGCATTGGCCTGCAGTCCGGAGAGACCGGGGTTCAGTTCCTGCTAAGAGTATGTATGTCGGTTGCAGTTTATCCCCAGCCCTGGTTGGGTTGTGTGGGTGGCAGCCACTCGATGTGTCCCTTTCACGTCGGTGTTCCACCCCCCCCACCCCCCCACCCCCCGTATCTGAACAAAAAACGGAAAAATGTCCTCGGATGAGGATAAAAAAAAATTTTTTTTAAAGGCATGCAAATCAGTAAGACAAATGAGTGATAATTAAAAGGGGGCAAAAAATAGAATTTACAGAAAATAAATGGATACTAAACATATGAAAATATGTTAAGCCTTACTCATAATAAGTGAATGGACATTAAAATTGTCTTGAGATCCCATTTCAATTATGGAATTGGCAAAAACAACTTTGTTGCTAAGATTCTGATTTTTGAGAGGGAAACGTCATTTCATATATTGCTAATTGTAATACAAATTGCTTAATCTTTATGTGGGGCAATTTGGCAATATTTAACAAAGTTTTCAATGCACAAATCTTTTAAGACAACTGTTCCATATTTATTTATTACACATGTACAAAATGGTAAGCAGACAAAGTGATTAACTGCAGTACTGTTTATTATAGCAAAAGACTGAACACAACCTAAGTATCCATCCATGAGGGTCTGCTTGAAGAAATTAGGAGAATATGCAGTTCACAGAGTTGCAGTAACTCTCCAGTCTTTTTACCCCTAACTGTACTGAAGAATTCACAAATATAATTTATATTTAAAGAGATAATTCAGCCTTGGCCAGTTTGGCTCAGCAGTTAGAGCGTTAGCCCTCAGACTAAAGAGTCTCTCTCTGGTTCAATTCCGGGATTGGTCAAGAGCACGCACATACCTTGGTTTCAGTTCGGTCCCAGGCCCTGGTCAGGGTCGTGCAGGAGGCAACCAATTAATTGATGTATCTCTCTCACATCAATGTGATGTTTCTCTCTCTCTCCCCAACTCCCTTCCTCCCTCCCACTCTATCTGAAGATAAATGGAAAAATATCCTTGGGTGAGGATTTTTTTAATAATAAAATAAAGAGATAATTCAATATATATGTGATGATTTATATATACATATGAATGAGTACCAAATAAAAATAATGAACACATCCATCACTTCATATAATTAACTTTTTTATGGTGAGAATGCTTAAGATCTTTCCTTAGCAACTTTCAGATACACAATAAATGAACTGCAGTCACCATGCTTTATATTAGATCCTCAAGTTTATATCCTTTGACCTACATGTCACTATTTTCCCTTCCCCATCTCCGAAGTCTTATGACAAATTGCAAAGCCTTATTCCAAATCTCTGCACTCTGTACCACACCACAGTGCCTACACCCAAAAGGAAATAAACTTTTATTTCCCCTGGAGAGAGATCTCCAGTGAAATACTAAACAACTTTGTCTTACCTTTATCCAATATCCCATATTTTGTTTTATTATTTTTTTCTTTATTGATTTTAGAGAGAGAGGAAGAGAGAAGGAGAGAGAGAGACAGAGAAACACTGATGAGAGAGAACATCGATTGGCTGCCTCCTGCTCCTCACTGGGGATCTGGCCCACAATGTGGGCATGTGCCCTGACAGGGAATCAAACTGGTGATCTCTTAGTGCATGGGTCAACATTCAACCACTGAGCCACATCAGCGGGGCCAATATCCCATATTTTAAAGGGGAAAATATGTATAACGTGCTAATAAAAGTAAAAAACCACATTATCTCAATGAACACACAAAAAGCATTTGGAAAAAAATCAACATCCCTTCATGATTAAAACCTTCAACACTAAGAGCAGAAGGGAACTTCCTTAACCTGATAAAAGACATCTAGAAACACCTACAGCTAACTAACATACTTAATGAAGAAAGACAATGCTTTTCCCCCTAAAATCAGATCAAGACAAGGATGTCTGCTCTCAATCTTTATTCATCATTGTACTGGAGGTTCCAGCTATTAGAAATGAATGCTCATCACATCTATTAATTAAATATAGAATTTGATGATTAATAGAATCTGATCCAAAATTATTACTACAGGATGGAACGATTAATGGAGTAAAACCAAAATTAATGAGTTTAGGTTTAAAAACTAACTGGCAAATACAAAATTCTGCAGAAAGATTACTGGGTACCTGCTGTGTGCCATGCACTAGAGATGAGACATGATGCTTTCCTAGATGGGTTAATTTCAGACCAAAAAAAAAAAAAAGATCAGGCAAGACTAAACACATCTTCCTGTGACCTTGGCACTTATTAATCCCCTAATTCAATTGTGTTAAGTCTTCTGGGCTGGGACCGCATACTATACTTTGGGTCTCCAGGGTTTGCAATAATTACAATACCGTCCACTTGGATGACTTCATTGGCTCTGGACCCTCAGGCCGATCACTTGGAAGCAAAGGAAGCTATTCGACGCGAATCGCGCGTTTCAGGAAGGCAGTGCCTGGAACAGAGCCTAGGGCAGCCAGAAATTCTGACTCTCCAAGTTTGAGGAGGTGTCCGGAAGCGGCTCTGAGATTACTCCTCTGAGCATGAGCGGAAGTCACGCTTTGAGCAGTCTGCAGGGTTGGTGGTGGTTTTGTTTTTTTTTTAACTGATAGGCGCCATATTCAGAGCAATCCGTTTCCATTCTGTTGTTCCCGTTGTACCCACGAGCAGCTGACAAATTTGTCTTCGCTACTGGAAAATAAAGATCGCACTCAAGGAAGTCTTAAGGCAGCCCAAATCCCCATCTTCCCGTAGTAAAGATGGCGGCGCCCTGACTGTAAACGACAGGTAAAGCCACTTCCGCATTTTTCCTGCGCCCTCGTCCAAGATGGCGGACGAGGCTACCAGGCGTGTAGTGTCTGAGATCCCGGTGCTGAAGACTAACGCTGGACCTCGAGATCGGGAGTTGTGGGTGCAGCGACTCAAGGAGGAATATCAGTCTCTTATCCGGGTCAGTTGTGCTACTGCGGCCGGGCGCGTCGCGACAGCGTTGCGGGTAATCATGTGTGCTTAGGAATAGGCTCCGTGTGGAAGCCACTTCCGGTTTTAAAGTTGCACTCCCAAATTCATGGAAACTGGAAAAATGCGAGGTTAGGGGGCTTGGGGATGCGATGGTCGGGAGGAGGCGTTGGGAGCGACAGACGGACTAAATGTAGCTGAAAGCAGCACTTATTTAGGGATACGCCTCCGGGAAGGTGACGTGTCCCTCTGGCTCCAGGTGCTTACTCTCCTGGATGTGAGGAGGTGGTCCGAGTCCGGTCCGCACCTCTCTGCCTCCTTCTTCACTCCTGGGGGAGGAACACGCCGTTAGGGCCGAAAATTCCAGGAGGCCTTAGTTGCAGAATCGCGGAGCTGAGCTCACCGTGAAGAACGAGCCGTGCTCTCAGCTAATCTCCTTTCTCTGTAAGAAGAAAGTTTGAGTGGTCATCGGTCTCTGTCTCCGGCCGCGTGCATGCATTCACTAAAAAACCTTTATTGTACACCTAGTGCCTAGGAAGGGAATAAAGAACCGAATAAGGTGGAGCCTACCGAAGTAGACACAAACGGATCATTAAAAATTGTTTAGGTGGAGAGAAGGAGGCTAAGAAACTGTTCCGTTGTTTTGAAACAGGAGGTGAGATACCTAATTCTGTTCGGATCTGGTCAGGGAAGGCTTCCTGTAAGAGGCAGTGCTTGAGCTGAGACTTAAAGGTTAAACATAAGTTAGCCAGATAAAACATGAGGGTAAGAGAAGGACATTCACGGCAAAGGGGCAGAATGGACAAAGGCATAGACCTAGAACGGTATGATGTGTATGAAGCAACAACTAGTTCAGAGTTGCTGTAGCATCAAATGTGAGGCAGGGAGTGGTGGGCAGGCTTGAGACATAAGTTTGAAAGTGCAAATTTTATCTTGGATGCTTTGGGATACCGTTAAAGGATTTTAACTAAGGAACAACACGGTCAGATTTGGGTTTAGATCAATCACGGTGGCAGTAGAGAGGAAAATAGAATTGACAGGAATAAGATTGAAGGTAGGAGACAAGTTAGGAGGCTGCCATTGACCCAGGCAAAACAAAGGTGGTGATCTAAGCTCTGCAGTTAGTTATAGTGAGAATGGAAAGGAGAGGTAGATTTGAAGAATATTCAGAAGGTAAAATCAGCAGGACATTGTAAAGGGTCAGTGGACTAGAGTAAAGGAGAGAGGATCAAGAATGATTCCAGATTTCTGGCCTGGGTGACTGAGTGGATACTGATGCTACCGCCTGAGACTCATGCAGTGAGAAACAGGTCTGAAGGAACATAGAGAAATGCTGAGCCTGAGGTTCCTGTGAAATGAAGATAAAAATTTCAATATGTAGTTGGACACTGGAGTCTGAAACTCTGAGCAGACATCTGGGTTAAAGAGAAAGATTTGGAAGTCATCAGCATATGGGTGCTATATGAGGACTATATGAGATCCTCCATGGAGGGAATACCCCATAAAATGACTTGTGGGGTGAGGGCAAAAACTGTCAGAAGTGAGAAGAGAACCAAAATGCTGCCATCAACTTTTGTGCTAAATTAAGTGGATCCCAAGCATTCTGTTCTGCTCTGGGAAAGTTGCAAGTCCCCTGCTTACCAGTATAACTTTGTCTTCAGTTTTGCTTATGTCAGAAAAGTTGGGTAAAAATACTAAGAGAGAAAGTAATCACATACTTTTCTTTTGAGGGAAGGGGAACTGCCCTTAGCTCCAAATTCCCCCTCAAAGACCTAATTCTCTGCTTTTAGTATGTGGAGAACAACAAGAATGCAGACACTGATTGGTTCCGACTGGAGTCCAACAAGGAAGGGACTAGGTAGGCAGACCCTCTTGGGGGAGTGTCAGGGTGGGAATCTTACATGGCTTTAGCATTTTAGTGTCTCAAAGCACATTGCCAGGCCATCCCTGCCTCATCCCTGCATCCCTGGCTGTGTCTACTCCCACAGCTCCAGAGTTTCCCAATTCCCATCTCATGAGTCTCCCAGGCTGGTCACCTAAGCCAAGAAGACATAATTTTAACATGAGAACAATGGTTAAATTGGACTGAGGCTTGATCTTTGTTATAGGTGGTTTGGAAAATGCTGGTACATCCATGATCTCCTCAAATATGAGTTTGACATCGAGTTTGACGTGAGTATGATGGAGTGGGAAATATGGAGGTTAACAAGGTAGCATTTCTTGAAAGGCCCAAAGAAAGCTTTTCAAATGGAAGGGAAAAGCTGAGGTTTGAAGCAAGCATAGGTTACAGTTACTGATCTCCAAGTACAGATTTGGTTGTGCACATGCTGCTTGGGGAGTTTGCCAAACAACTCAGTTCAGCCAAGGAATGTGTGTCTAATTACATTAGTTCCTTTCTATCTTGATTTTCTTTTATTAAGGTTTTATAATTCCTCCAGATTCCTATTACATATCCTACTACTGCTCCAGAAATTGCTGTCCCTGAACTGGATGGAAAAACAGCAAAGATGTACAGGTAGGACTGAATAAGAGATGGGAGAGGGTCAATAAAGGGCCTAGGGAAGAATTGTGGAGGGGCAGGGATTTTCCCAGAGTCCCAGAGGGGCTCCAGGCCTCCCTCTTCCAAGCCTGGGCAAAATACTTGGCTGACCTTGTATTCAATTTAGATCACTGGTAGTCTTATGCTCCCAAGAGGCTGCTATGCTTTATGGTGAACTTTGCGTGTCAACACCTCCTTCCGTCTTGTCCCTTTCATAGGGGTGGCAAAATATGTCTGACCGATCACTTTAAGCCTTTGTGGGCCAGGAACGTGCCCAAGTTTGGACTAGCTCATCTCATGGCTCTAGGGGTAAGTTTGGGGTATTTGGTATGTAAGCAGGGAAAAGGATAATATAAGAAAAGTAATATAAGAAAAGTAAATATAAGCAATATAAGAAAAGTAAATGATACACCCTCACATCATTGCTTCTCTCTCCTTCTCCCTTCCTCTCTCTCTCTCTAAAAAATTAAAAATATAGCCCTGGCCAGTTTGGCTCAGCAGTTGAGCATCGGCTTGCGGAACAGAGAGTCCTGGGTTCGGTTCCTGCTAGGGGCACGTACCACAAATAAATAAATATATATATTCAAAAAAAGAGAAAAGTAACTGAGAACAAGGAATAACAGTGTTTTCCCTTGGGTGTGTCCCCCTAGAATCTCTAGGAAAGAGCTTCTGATGGAACAAGATGCATTGCCTAGGTGGTAATAATCTCACAGGGTCTCCATTGTATTACAGCTGGGTCCATGGCTGGCAGTGGAAATCCCCGATCTGATTCAGAAAGGCGTAATTCAGCATAAAGAAAAATGCAACTGAAGGATCAAGCCACTGAGGCTGGACAGAGGGACCTTTGATGGGCTACATACTTGTTTTCTGTTCATCCCTTACTGCTTCCCTTAGCTCCTTCACCCACAATTGTTACTAAGTAGCTGCAGCAGGCATTGTGGGGGGTGGGGGAGGAGCAGTATTGCTACTGAGTTTTCTAAGGGAGGGGAAAGCCTGGGGCTTTGAAAAACCAAAAGGCCACTTTTTTCCCTTCCCCTAAGTGGAACAGTGTAAGGTCCTGGAGGGATGGAGGGTGAGGGTACATAGTCTTTTTGGTTCCTGGAGATAACTCATCAATAAAGTGCTTCCTCTGGTGGCCTTTGGTTCTCATTGGTGGCAGTTAACAGGGGATGAGTAGGCCAAGACACAAGTACCACGGCTGTACTTTGGGGGGTAGGGGCGGGGGAATGGTGGATGCTCTGGTCAGGAGCTGAGGAATGAGTTTAAAAGGCTCGACTGCTCTTCCTGCTCCTGAGATCTTCCTCTGTCCTTTGAAGGGGAGCCTGGGGCTTTGGCCTGCTAGGTGGCTGAGGAAAGGTTTTGCATGGCCAGCGTTCCTTGCCCTGCGGGGATCTTGCTGTCCCTACTGCTGAGCCCATGGCCTGCAGCTCCCTGGAAAGGATCCATGCTGCAAGCCTGGGGGCCACGCTCTGTGGTCAGATCCGTAGCCCTGTGGACCACAGAATGAGGTGACCCTACACTTCCGGGACTTGGTTTGCAGCAACTGTATAAAGACAATTCTGGGCAGAGCTGGGAACTGGTGGTGCTAAAGTTGGCTGCGTTTCCATGGTGTCGGCGGGGGAGGCGAGGGGCGGGGTTGCGCAAGCGCCGTGGGAGCCTGCGCTAGGGTCCGAGTGCGGATGCGCAGGCGCCGTGAGAGACGCTGAAGCCGGCGGCGGTGGCGGGCGGGACCAACAAAGATGGCGGTGGCCCCGGCGGCGGCAGTGACCTGGGCGACAGCTGCGGCTGAAGCTGCAGCCGGGCCCGCAAGGGTGCTGCACGGGGGCAGTGGGGGGCGGCCCTGAGCTGGGGCCTGGCCCCGGCTGGGCTTCCCCGCCGCTCACCGGGGAACAGGTACGGGCCGCGGCGTTACGACCGGGCTGGGGGGGGGGGTGCTGCCCCGGACCGGAGGACGCCCTCCACAAAGGCAGAGGCGCTGGGGCCGGGCAGGCCTGGGAGAACTGGGCTGGAGGGACCGCGTCCGTGGGCCGTGGGGAGTACAGCGCCGGACTCCGGAGCCAATCAGCGGCCTCGGCCTTTCTGCCCTCGAGGGGGGCGGACCCGCTGGAGCCCTGCGGCGGTGCTCGAGGTGCAGAGACCCGGGGGTCAGGAGTGTCCGCCCCGCCCCGGCCCCTGAGCCCGACACCACGTTTGGAGCTCCAGGGTGGGGGAGGAACGGAGTCGCAAGTCAACCATTTAGTCGGCTTCTTGTGCAGCCCGGAGGGGCAGGGGTGAAGGATGGATGCTTCTTCTGACTGTTGTGCTGGCATCCACACCCCCATTGACCAAAGGGCCGAAGGGACTCCAGGCACATCCCACTGGACTACCCACCCAAGACGGAGGCAAAGCAGTCCAGTGGGCTGCTATCACTCATTCATTTTCAGTCAAGGAATACTAAGTATTTGTTTTGTTTTGTATTAATCCTCACCTGAAGGAATTTTCCCGTCGATTTTTAGATAGAATGGAAAGGAGGGAGGGGGAGAGAGAGAAACATCAATGTGAGAGAGGCACATCAATCGGTTGCCTCCTGCATGAGCCAGCTGGGGATAGAACCTGCAACCTAGGTACTTGCCCTTGACCGGGCATCAAACCCACCAGGCTTTTGTCCGTACACCTTCACTCTAGCCACTGAACCAAACTTGGCCAGGGCAATGAATGCTAAGTATTTACTTTGTGTGGAACTAGGTACTGGGGATACAATGACTGACATGACAGGCAGCGTTCCTGCTCTCCGTGCATATAGATGCTAGTATGGTAGCTTAGGTTCCCCCTTCTGTCTATACTCATGCTGACCCTGTCCTCTTCTCCCAGGTCCAGCGTGAAGTTCACAATGCCCCAGGCCTCTGAGCACCGCCTGGGCCGGACCCGGGAGCCACCTGTCAATGTCCAGCCCCGAGTGGGATCCAAACTACCATTTGCCCCCCGGGCCCGCAGCAAGGAGCGCCGAAACCCAGCCCCTGGGCCAAACCCCATGTTACGGCCTCTGCCGCCCCGGCCAGGTCCACCTGAAGAACGGCTCAAGAAACTGGAGCTGGGACGGACACGGACCTCAGGCCCTCGTCCCAGAGGCCCCCTTCGGGCAGATCATGGAGTTCCTCTGCCTGGCTCACCACCCCCAGCTGTGGCCCTGCCTCTTCCGTCCAGGACCAACCTAGCCCGTTCCAAGTCTGTGAGCAGTGGGGACTTGCGTCCAATGGGGATTGCCTTGGGAGGGCACCGAGGCGCTGGAGAGCTAGGGGCTGCACTGAGCCGCTTGGCGCTCAGGCCTGAGCCACCCACTTTGAGACGTAGCACCTCTCTCCGCCGCCTAGGGGGCTTTCCTGGGCCTCCCACCTTGCTCAGCATACGGACAGAGCCCCCTACTTCCCATGGCACTTTTCACGTGATATCTGCCCGGCCCTCCGAGTCTTTCTACTCCGATGACAAGATGGTGAGGACTTGCCGGCGCACATGGCCTTCCATTTCCATGTACCTCCAGCTTTCTTGCCATCCTATGGCTTTCCTTCCCCTCTTTTCCCAAGTTCTTTTCTTAGCCCCTCATCACAGCATCTGGACTCTCCTCTCCCATACTTAAGTACTCTTTCCGGGTTGTCCGTCACTCCCCAGCATGGTTCGCCACTTCAGTCCCCAGGGAATTATCCCAGCCATTTGGAATTCTTCTTGGTGTCCCCCAGGACCTTCCCTTCCCTCGCCACACCTCTCCTAGGACACTGCCTAGGCCTAATTAATCTCTGGAGCTGAGGCGGGGCAGGCTTAGAACATCTGAGCTAGTGTAGTTGCCCATTTCTCAAGCCAAGTGAGCTAGGCTGATTGCACTTGGAGCCATCGGGAGAGGGTGCAGGAAGGGGCCACGGGGGCGGGAGGGGGCCTTGGAGGCAGCAAGGTGGGAGTGGGGAGCAGCTGGGCAACCATGCCGGTTCTTGGGGAGTTGCCCCAGGAGCTGCATCGCCGGCTAGCTGGGCAGAGGAGCAAGTGGGGAACAGGTGGGACTCCCATGGCTGAGTCCGTGGTGCACTCAGCTGTGATGGGCTTACTGCTCATGGCCAGTGAGGTAGGGAGACCCCAATACCCAGTGAGGGAAAGAGGGTAGAGTTTGGGGGGAAGTATTGGGTGGGCGAAGCAGTGGGCAGCATGCTGTTGAAAGGTTAAAGTGCTAGATGGGCGATATGGGAACCTGCTGACTGCACTCTGACCTTCCAGGCTCATCACACACTGCTTCTGGGCTCTGGTCACATTGGCCTCCGGAATCTGGGGAACACGGTGAGAGCCATTCTCCTGTCCTCCCTGTCTAACAGAATGTGAAGTGGTGCTGGGGGGCAGGAACATGCTGACCCTGGGAAGGAGAGCACGGAAGCTCTTCTAGGGTCTGGAGAGGTAACTGCAGTGCCTCTGCTCCCCAGTGCTTCCTGAATGCCGTGCTACAGTGTTTGAGCAGCACACGGCCTCTCCGGGACTTCTGCCTTCGAAGGGACTTCCGTCAAGAGGTGCCTGGAGGGGGTCGAGCCCAAGAGCTCACTGAAGGTGGGGCAACAACTCCTGCCTTCCCTTCCAAGTCCTCTTCTCCCCAGCGCCTTGCAGGTCCACTGCCTGTGCTGGCAGCCCTAGCCCTCAGGTCTGGCACTTGTATCTTTTTCCTGGTGCCTACTTTGTAAAGGTTGTTGTCCACCTCAGCCTCCTCTTGCTTGCCTCATCCTGTCACTAACCTTTGTTTCCCTTCCCCGTTCCTACCCTGATAGCCTTTGCAGATGTGATTGGTGCCCTGTGGCACCCTGACTCCTGCGAAGCTGTGAATCCCACTCGATTCCGAGCTGTCTTCCAGAAATACGTTCCCTCCTTCTCTGGATACAGGTGGGAGAGCTGGAGGGTATGGAATTTCCCTATGGCCATGTCTGGGGGTAGGCCCAAGCAGGGGCCCTGGCAGCACTGTTCTGAGCCTTGAGATGTCCTTAATCCAGGAAGTGGGGAACAGTGACTGGCAGGGCATAGTGTCTGTAGACTAGGGGCATCAGCTGCCCATACTCTTTGGCTGTAGCCAGCAGGATGCCCAGGAGTTCCTGAAGCTCCTCATGGAGCGGCTACACCTTGAAATCAACCGACGAGGCCGCCGGGCTCCGCCAATCCTGGCCAATAGTTCAGCGCCCTCTCCACCCCGCCGTGGAGGGACTCTGCTAGAAGAACCTGACTTAAAGTAAGGTTGCTCCCCCTCCTCCTTCTCCCCAGTAGTTTACCAATAGCATTCCTCCTTCACAGAACAGGGCTAGTCAGTATTACAGATGTAGGTTGTAGGGAAATGCACAGCCTAGAAAAGGGGTCGAGAAGTGGTGCAGAGTGGAGGGCTGAGAGCAGACAGAGGCACAGGCAGTGCTAGGGGTGTCACCATGGAGGAGGAGGGGATAATTCACAGCGAGATACATAAAGGGTTTGAAGCACAGGGGAGGAAGACAGCGTGTTCTTCCCTTGTCTACATTCCTTTCTTGTCCTCTCACCTTGGCTTTCCCCAGAAAGTCCTCTGAAGCATTACTACTTAGACTCTTCCTTGAAATTTCAAGGAGTTGAGGTATGGGTGGGGTGCAGGCTCTGTGGATCATTTCAGTGGTGTTTGTTTTTTTTTTTTATTTTTTTTATTTATTTTTATCCTCACCCGAGGACATTCTTCGATATTTTGTTCAGATAGAGTGGGAGGGGGAGAGAGAGAGAGAAACATCGACGTGAAAGTGACACATCGAGTGGTTGCCACCCACACGACCCAACCAGAGCCTGGGACAAACTGCAACCAAGGCACGCGCCCCTAGCGGGAACCGAACCCGGGTCTCTCTGGACCGCAGGCGGACGCTCTAACCGCTGAGCCAAACCGGCCAGGGCTCAGTGGTGTTTGAATGCCCCATTTTCCTGCTGTCTCATGGGTGTCCTCTTTCCCATCATCTGTGGCAGTGATGACGACCGGGCCAACCTAATGTGGAAGCGTTACCTGGAGCGAGAGGACAGCAAGATTGTGGGTATGGAACAGGGCACACCATGGGGCAGTCAGCGGGGGTGGGGAAGTGCTGGCTTGGGAGAAAGAAAACAATGCTATCGGTGGATATGAGAACAAGCTGGGTGATGAAGATGTGGAAAAGGTGAGGGGCTCGTTAGGCGTGTTGGTGGTGGGGAAGAAGGTCAGGCAAAGGGGTGGGAAGAGATGCAGACTGAGCAAGCGTCTCAGCAAGTGTCTCAGCATCCCATAGTGATTTTCTTCCTGCCCTTTGCTTCTATCTAGACCTGTTTGTGGGCCAGTTGAAAAGTTGTCTCAAGTGCCAGGCCTGTGGGTATCGCTCCACGACCTTCGAGGTTTTTTGTGACCTGTCCCTGCCCATCCCCAAGGTGGGATTCCAGAGGATTCCAGGGGTGGATGGGACATGGGTTTGGTGACCCAACCCTACCCACCCCCTGAGTGCGGGCGGGAACCCTTTGGGTCTCTGGAGAACTGAAGCCTGGATTAAGAAGAGTTGGAAAAGGACATTCAGAACATGCTGACCCTTCTTTCCCTCCAGAAAGGATTTGCCGGGGGCAAGGTGTCTCTGCGGGACTGTTTCAGCCTTTTCACCAAGGAAGAAGAGCTAGAGTCAGAAAATGCCCCAGTACGTGGGATTCAAATGGGATATAGTAAGGGCAGGGAAGGGGGGGGAGGAGCTCCATATGGGTAAGGGGTTGCATGATGCCTTACTATGAGGAATAATATGTGTGTGTCTGGGTTTGTGTTGGAGTCTCAGGTAAGTCCTAGTACTTGTAGGGCAAAGAGGGCCCAGAGGACACAGAAGTAAAGGGGAGTGGAGTCAATGTTATGTGCTCAGGACGCCGGAGAGCCGCTGGAGGTGAGGAGCACAGCGACCTCACCTTGTTCGACATCCATTCAGGTGTGTGACCGATGTCGGCAGAAAACACGAAGCACCAAAAAGCTGACAGTACAGAGATTCCCCCGAATTCTTGTGCTCCGTATCCTGATATTCAAACTGTTTCTTCCATGCAGAGGCTGGATATTTGGAAGTTGATTTTCCTTAGAAAAACTCCATCTTTCCCTACCGTGACCCTGGTATTCACTAGGGGAGGGGAGTGGGCAGCATTCAAGACCTCAGTCCCCTCTGAGGCCTCTTCTAAATGCTCCTTAACCAGGGCTCAGATCTTAACCGATTTTCCGCCTCCCGAGGCTCCATCAAGAAGAGTTCTGTAGGTGTAGACTTCCCGCTGCAGCGACTGAGCCTAGGAGACTTTGCCAGCGACAAAGCTGGTGAGTATGGCAGGGAAGGTCCTTGTAGTGCCCTGGGGGGTGGGAGAGTGGGAGCGGGCACAGCTGTGACTAGAACCGGATGGCCTCTAACTCCACAGGAAGTCCGGTGTATCAGCTGTATGCCCTTTGCAACCACTCTGGCAGTGTCCACTATGGCCACTACACAGCCCTGTGCCGGTGCCAGACTGGTTGGCATGTCTACAATGACTCTCGGTGAGAACAGCCTCCTATTCAGCCCCCAGCCAGTTCCCTAATGTGAAGCCCTTGGAGGTCAGAGTGCCTGGTGAGGTGGGGTCTCCTGGTCCCTTCCTGGATGTGCGGCTGTCCTGGTGGGCAGGGGGAATATACAGGGATGATCACACCTTCCTCATCTCCCTTCTTCCAGTGTCTCCCCCGTCAGTGAAAACCAGGTGGCATCCAGTGAGGGCTACGTGCTGTTCTACCAACTGACACAGGAGCCACCCCGGTGCCTGTGACACCCCTTTAAACCCTGGCACCTGTGAAACCCTTTCAACATCCTTAAGCCCCAGGCTCCCCATTTACCTCAGAGACGTCTATTTTTGTGTCTTTTTAATTGGGGAGGGGGGAGGGGTGACTGTAGCTCCCATTATTTTTTTTATCTAAGAAGTACCCTTCCACCTGGAGGTCCCCTCGTCTCCCAGCACTATGTACAAAGCGCCCCAGGCCCTGCCCGTGTACAGCCCCCGGACTCTACAATCTCACTTTTTGTGAATAAATTTATTAAGAAAAACTGACGTCCTTTTTTGTACTGGTGCCTGGGGGGTGGGCCGAATTGGATCTGCCCCGACGCGTTGGAAGGAGGGAAGGCAAACTTGAGACTGGTGCCGGCAGGGGGCTGCCCCTCGAGGCCAGGCACCCTAGGACCCCTGTTGACAAACACTGGGTGCGTTGCCCGGCGGCCCCCGCTCCCGCAGGCCCGGCTGTTGCTAACATCAGGAGCTGTTTACGGAGCCGCGTCCCCGGGGCCAGCCACTCTCCTAAGCCCCGGCGCGCGGGGCTGTCCCCCGGGGCGCTCACCTGGCTGGGCCTGGCGCCAGCGCGGGCAGTGCCCCCAGGACGCAGCGCTGCCTCCTCGGCCCCGGGCAAGCAGCTCCGGCCACCAGCCGCGGCGCCGCGCAGGTTGACCTGCCGCCTCTCACGCCGCCGTCCCTCCGCCTCGGGTTTTCATTGGCCAGCGTCATGCGGGGCGCGCCGGGACCCACCAATCAGGAGCAGGGACTGCTGCGCCGGCGCGAGCCGTGGGAGTGCGGCGCGCGGGCGTCGGGGCGGTCAGGGCTGCCGGCTGCCCCCGCACCGCGCGCGCTGATAGCGCGGGTGTGGCCCGTATCTTCCCGCGGGGCGCGGGTGGGGAGCCTGTGCACCGGCACCTGCTCCTCCCTCTTCTCGTCCATCTTGCGGGTGAGTCCTGCGCCCACACCGCGTCTGCCGCCCCTGCCTTAGTTCCCCGGAAAGCGGTGAGTGGCCCGGCTGGAGCGCAGACCCGGGAGGCTTTGCAGAGAGGGCGCCCGGCTCAGCCTTCCGCGCCGCCCCTCTCCCACAGGCTCGCAATGGGCCGGACCGTGGTCGTGCTGGGTGGAGGCATCAGCGGCTTGGCCGCCAGTTACCACCTGAGCCGGGGCCCCAAGCCCCTCAAGGTGAGTGCTACGTGCGGGAGGGAGCCTCCTTTATACTCTGGTCCCATTGCCACCCGGAGGGTGTGCGCTGCCCCCGCCCCTCCAGACTCTTCACCCCGGTGCCCGAGGCCGGGCTGCAGTGTCCACCCCCCTTGACCCAGGTGGTCCTGGTGGAGGGCAGCGAGCGTCTGGGAGGCTGGATCCGCTCTGTACGAGGGCCGGGTGGTGCTGTCTTCGAACTTGGGCCTCGAGGAATTCGGCCTGCAGGAGCTCTGGGAGCCCGGACCCTCCTCATGGTGAGAGGCTGTGGAACGCCCGGGGAGGTTGGGGTTCGTTAGAGGATATAGTCCGAGAAGGAAGTATATTTGGTAGTCAGACCTTTCCTTAGCTTCTCCTCTTCCTGGGGACGGTGGGGAGCAGGTTTCTGAGCTTGGCTTGGACTCAGAAGTGTTACCTGTCCGAGGAGACCATCCAGCTGCCCAGAACAGGTTCCTGTATGTGGGCGGTGCCCTGCATGCCCTGCCTTCTGGCATCAGGTGACACTACCACCTCCTCACTGCACACCCCTTTGTTTTGCCCCTTCCTCGCATCCCTTCCATGTTCTCACCTCCCAGTCTGCCAGCCTTCCCAAGCCCGCAGGGCCTGAATGGACACAAGCCCTGGAGCTGGGATGGCATCCGAGCTGCCTCCTCACTGCACCTTCCTCCGAGCAGGGGGCTACTCAGCCCTTCACCTCCCTTCTCCAAACCTCTGTTGTGGGCTGGGCTGAGGGAGCTGACCACACCCCCAGGCAAAGACCCTGATGAGACTGTGCACAGCTTTGCAGAGCGCCGCCTTGGACCTGAGGTGACACGGCCCAGGGGCCCCAAATTTTTCCCCTCCTACATCAGCCACAGAGCCCCGCACACACACACACCCTCTGGGGCTCTTCTGTGTCACTTGGGTGTGTGCTCTTTGTCTTTTCATACCTAGTAGTTTCCAAATCTCAGTGTTGAAGGGTGAATGCCTTCACTTCCTTCTCATCCTTCCATGATAGTGGGCTGCTTCCCAGCCCAAACCCACCTGCCCACCTCACCCCATCCCTGCTGAGCAGAGACAGTGAAAACCAGTACAGCATACTCCTTGGTCTCAGTCCCAGTCTCATCCTTAAGGTGGCATCTCTGGCCATGGACAGTCTCTGCCGTGGAGTGTTTGCAGGCAACAGCCGCGAGCTCAGCGTCCGGTCCTGCTTTCCCAGTCTCTTTCAAGCTGAGCAGACCCATCGTTCCGTATTACTGGGGCTGCTGCTGGGGGCAGGTGAGGAGAGCATGGTTTGAGGGTCAAGACATTAAGGGCTGCCAGGGTGAGGGACCGGAGACCAGGAGAGCTATTTTGATACTTCCCTACTTCCTCCTCTGCAGGACAGAGCTCACAGCCAGACTCAGCACTCATTCGCCAGGCCCGAGCTGAGCGCTGGAGTCAGTGGTCACTACGAGGAGGGCTGGAGATGTTGCCCCAGGCGCTTAACCACCACCTGACCAGTAGTGGGGTCACTGTTCTCAGAGGCCAGCCAGTCTGTGGGCTCAGCCTCCAGACAGAAGGACACTGGAAGGTAGGAGAGCCCCCTGGAGTGTAATGAACCTTTGTATTACTTTCCATCTTTGCCTAAATGATTTTTGGTGGTTTTTTTTTAATTGATTTGAGAGAGAGAGGAAAGGAGAGAGAGAAACATCAATTTGTTTTTCCCCTTATTTATGTATTTATTGGTTTTGTTTTGTTTTTAAAAAAAAATTTTTTTCTGTATTGATTTTAGAGAAAGAGGAAGGGAGAGGGAGAGACAGGCACATCGATGAGTGAGAAGATCGATTGGCTGCCTCCTGCATGCCCTCCACTGGGGATCAGGCCCACAACATGGCATGTGCCCTGACCAGGAATCGACCGGCAACTTCTTGGTGCTGGGTCAACACTCAACCACTGAGCCACACTGGCCTGGCCGTTGGTTGCTTCTTGTGTGGGCAGTGATCCGGGACCGAACCCACAACCTTGATAGGTAGGGATAGTGCTCCAGCGAGAAGAGCTACCGAGCTGGGGCTGCCTGAATGTTTTAACCAAGCCAGGGCTGGAGGACTGAACCAGCTCACTGCTTTTCTGCCCTAAAAGCTGTTTAAATATGGGCCTTATTTGTGGACCTTTCTCCAAGACCCATTTGATCCAAGTCTGCGGGTTGAAGTACTGTTTATAAGTGGCTGAGAGATTGGGGAACAACCCAATTCCACTAACAGCTCAGATTGGACAAGTGGCCCATCTGGCCCACTTCCTGTAGTAACAGGGGTGATTTTTGTGCAGACTACCAGACTCTCCTACCACTTGGGTGCCCAGGAAGCTGAGGTAAACTTCTCATTATCTGTGTTTCAAATGTTTTCTTCTTCTCAGGTGTCTCTAGGGGACAGCTGCCTGGAAGCTGACCATGTTATTAGTGCTCTTCCCGCTTCAGGTAATGGGGTAGCCATCCTCCCCTTCCCCAGTCAGTGAGGCAAGCCGTAGGTTTCTGGGCCGGCAGGACAGTGCCATGCCCCTGAACTGTTCGTGGGAATTGTTCGTGGGAAGGCCTCCTAAGCAGGCCTCTGCTGGCTCCCTCCAGTGCTCAGCAAGCTGCTCCCTGCTGAGGCTGCCCCTCTGGCTCGTGTCCTGAGCACCATCACTGCTGTGTCGGTGGCTGTGGTGAACCTGCAGTACCGAGGAGCCCGTCTGCCTGTCCAGGTGTGACACAGGAAGGGGGGACAGGGCCCAAATGGAACCCTTCCCTCCCTGACCACCTCTTCCTTTTCTCAGGGGTTTGGACATTTGGTGCCATCCTCAGAAGACCCAGCCATCTTGGGAATCGTGTACGACTCAGTTGCTTTCCCGGAGCAGGATGGTAGCCCCCCTGGCCTCAGAGTGACGGTGAGAGGAGGCAGCTTTGCTTAGTGGGGGTCCTGACGGGCTCCTGTTGCCCAGAGTAGGCCAGTACCATCTTCTCCCCCAGGTGATGCTCGGAGGTTCCTGGTTACAGACGCTGGAAGCCAGGGGAACTGGCTTATCCCAGGAACTGCTCCAACAGCAGGCACAGGAAGCAGCTGCCACACAGTTAGGGCTGAAGGGGCCACCGAGCCACTGCCTGGTCCACCTGCACAGGGTGAGCTGGGATCTGTGCCTCGAAGGCAGAGGCTGGTGTTTTCGTCCTTGTCCATCAAGGCCTGTGACATTAATAAACTTTTCCTTTTCTCTCCTTTTCTCTCCCAGAACTGCATCCCCCAGTATACACTAGGCCACTGGAAGAAACTGGGTAAGTTGGGAAAGCAGCGAGGCTGAGGAGAGCCAGGGAAATCAGACCCCCAGCCATGTCACCCCTTTGTCCTTCCCAGAGTCAGCGACCCATTTCCTGGCTGCTAACGGGCTGCCCCTGACTCTGGCCGGAGCCTCCTATGCGGGGGTTGCTGTCAACGACTGTATAGAGAGTGGGCGCCAGGCAGCAGCCCGGGCCCTGGGCTTAGAACTTGATGGGTGATCCTCACACCCACCTCTTGTTGCCCTGCTGGCCCAGAGTCTCACCGTGACAATAAAAGTTGCTGGAGCTTGGCTTGGTCTGGCTGTCCTGTCCTGGGCATGGGGGAGGAAGAGGTACAGAGACAGGCAAAGGGTGTCTGGGGTGCAGAAAGCAGGAGCAATGGTGAGCTAGTCCTTTATTAGAAAATATATCAAAATCCCTGCCCCTGAGCCAGGTCCAGAAGAGGGAGCTGCTCCAGCGGCAGCAAGTGCCCAGGGAGAGGCTCGCGTCACGTGCATCCTGGGGACCATAAATAGAATAAATATTCACAGAGGTCCCGGGAGAAGCAGATCACTCTTCTCTCCGTGGAAGAGGAAGGGACTTGGGTCCAGCCCTGCTCCTACTCCCAAGGGACTCCCAAGAGTCGTCACATAAAATCATGACATCAAGGATTCACAGTCATAAGCCCTGGCAAGTGCCCCTAGAAAGAGGGACCCCCAGGTCGAGAGGAGCCCAGCTCCAGTCCAGCAGTGAGGGGGGGCCTCTGCCCCCAGCACAGCTCTTGTCAGCTCCCCAACGTCCCCCTGAGGGCAGTGAGGAGCCGAGGGTGGGAGAACACAACTCCTCTGGTTCAGTTCCAGGACTAAGGTTGGCAGGAAGGAGGAGTCAGTGTGAACTCTGTGGGGCTGTGTGGTTGGCAGTAGGCAGAGGGCCAGGCCTGGCTGGGGGCCTGCGCTGCAGCATCTCTTGACGGAAGGCCTGGGAGGAGCCAGGTGGGTAACGGGGACCAGAGGGAATCCGGGGGCCCCGGGGGTCAGTTCCAATGTCTGCTGTGATGTTGGTATAGAGAGGGCCCAACTCTCGGGCCAGCAGTCGGTATGTCAGTGAGTTCATCCCATCTTGTGTCCAGGAATTCTGGGTGCGGACCAGGAGGTCAAATCTGAGGGTTAGAGGTTAGAGACTAAGACCCAGAAAGGAACAGCCAAGAATCTAGGGACTGTAGGAGTTTTCTGGCTGGAACGCAGAGCCCAGGATCCAGCCCAGGCAGGCAGTCCTCTGCCTACCTGTGGGGGTTTTCCTCGTTGCCCTTGTCTCCTCGGTGCTTCACCATCTTATAGTGTCCCACAGACATAGGGGGGCGAGAGATCTTCATGCCAGCCAGCCGTACCCTGTGGGGAGAGTGGGGAACCTTAGAGGGTCAGACCAGAGGACAGCTGCTGACCGGCGCATAAGCAGAGCACAGGCCAGCAGGAAGGGTTGCATGAGCCCTGCACTGAGAACAGCCGCTTCCAGTTAGGCAAAAAGCAAAAAGTTAACTATTTCTAGTTAGTGCCGAGTACTGGGAAGGGAGGGAACGTCACAGGGAAAGAAGGAAAAGGCTGGTGTATGCAAACCCTCGGGGCCTTGTGCCAGCTCCTGGGCCCTTTAAACAGTTGGCAGGGGTAGGTTTGCACCCCACCTGTGTTCCCTAAATGGCCCCAGGAGCTGCCCTTGCAGTCTGGGTAGGACAGAGAGAGGAGCCATTCTGTCAAAAGGGCAGGACAAGACTGGAGTTGTCAATCCAAGCTCAGCGATTTGTGTTCAGAAGAATGGCTGAGCTGCCCACCTCCGCGACCCGCACCACCCTGCTCCAGTGTGCAGGGCAGAAGCAGCACCTTGAGAAACCAACCCCTAGCCCCACGTGCAGAAGCAGGACGTGAAGACGGCCTGAGAAGAGGACGTTCAGAAACTGCCGGGTGATTTACACTCAAGAGGACAAGAATCTAGAGATGTCATCCCAGAGAGCACAGCGGGAAGAGCAGGCAGTGGATACAGAACATCAAGCCCAAATATTCAGATATGAATATGAAATTAGGTCAGTTGAGGCTGAAGGTCACAATGTGAACACGTGCTAAGAATGAGTTGGCCTCAAGCCAATGGCAGAGGCTTTGAAAAGAGTGATTCTGGGTTCTATGAGTACCTCCTCCCCCATCCCCGCAGGAAGTGGTCTGGGTGCAGTCCTGGCAGGAGGACTGTCTGAAGGCCCCTTCCCAGCTCTGGAATCCCATGATCCCAGCCCATTGCTCTAGGAGACTGAGGGTGACAGTGAGGGGTACGGGGAGCAGCTTAAAACCAGTCCCGGGTGGGCTGAAAAGACCAGGGCAGAGGGGTGCATAGTCCAGGACCTGTGAGCCAAGGTTAGTGGGAAAGGGCTGCGGCCAGGGATAGCCTCAGGACAGGATGCCAGCCGGTGGGGGTGGGGGTGGGGGTGGCAGGAAGTCTGACCTGGTGGCGATGTCGTCGTCCTCACCACCCCAGCCCCAGTACTCATTGGGGAAGCCATTCATCTTCAGGTACTGGTCAGGAGTGAGCGCCGAGACCCCTCCAAAGTACTGGGGGTATGGGAGGCTAGGGAGAGAAAGATCCTTGGGTTCTACAGGTCTGGAATACATCCCTACCCACAATCCCCTCAGCTCGCCTCCTTCCCTGCTTCCCAGCATCCTTGCATAACTTCTACCTGTATCCAAACTTGTTCATGGCGACAGCAACATGCCGGGGTCCACGGGGGTCACACACATACAGATTGTGGTCGTTCTCTGGCAGGAGGTCCACATCGTGCAAGAACAGGCAGTCCCACTCTTCATCACGCAGGGCCTCCCGGACCCCAACATTCAGCAGCTTTGCCCTGTTAAAAGTTCCATTTCCAGCCTGCAAGATAACGGAGGAGGACCAGACTGTGTCTGTGGGTGGCATGGAGAGGAGGGGTCTGAAGTATCAAAGTGGGATGGGGGAGGCAAAGAGAAGGAAGAGAAAGACAAACTATCTTAAATTTTTTTCATTCAACAAAAATTTCGTTGAACAACAGTATGTGCCTGATACTTACATGCTGCTGTTTAGCATTAAATCCTGACCACCAACAACCACGTGAATAGATGTCCATCAGTCACCATTCTTTGCATCATTTTAGGGGGTTAAGTATTTTGCTTAAGGTCACATACGGAACAAATGGCAGAACTACAGTTTTAGCCCAAATCTATCCAATTCCAAACTCACGCAATTCGAAATTCAACAAAGGAAAGTTCCTGGACGCGTGTAGGGCAAAGGGCACACCTTGCACGGAGTGAGAAGTGCGCAGACACGTTGGCACAGCAGAACCAGGAACTCCCCACATTCAGCAGACTCTAGGGCTTTGGCTGGTTTGGCTCTGGTTAGAGCGTCAGCCTGCGGTCTGGAGAGACCCAGGTTTGGTTCCTGCTAAGGGCATATGCCTCGGTTGCAGTTTGTCCCCAGCCCTGGTTGATCATGCAGGTGGCAGCCACTCAATGTGTCCCTTTCACATTGATGTTTCTCTCTCGCTCGCTCTCTCTCTTCCTCTCCCTCCCACTGTCTTAACCAAAAAAATGGACAAATGTCCTCTGGTGAAGATTAAAAAAAAATGACTCTAGGGGTCATATATGCATCTACTGGAGGCTTCCTCACAAGAAAGAAGGCGGAGTGCGTGGAGGTGGGGTACCTGGTGGATGACGTAGATGCCGTAAGCAAGCTGCTGGCGCTGTAGGAAGGGGTGCAGGTGGTAGAGCAGCAAGCGCAGGTGGTGCTCCCGGGCTCGGTGCGGCACAATGACAGCTGTTCGGGAGCGGGGCTCACACCCTGCGGGGCGGTACCGGCCCCCTGCTTCCACCCGGGGATTCCTCTCCACAATCTCTGCCAGCGATGGCACTGGGCTAAAGGACACGGACACAGGACCCACTGTTGGAGGGAATGGCAAGTCAGGGATTAGAGAGTCAAGGAGCAATGAAGGACCACCAGGGACCAGGAGCACCTCTGGTTCTTGCAGTCCTGGTTTGGGGCTCAGCAACCCCTAAGGGCTCACTCAGAAATCTCACAAGCCTTGAGTTCCCAATCCCTTGGATGGCTTTGCAAAGTCTGGAAGGTGCAGGCTCCTTACCTAGCCTACTTTCTTATTTTAGGTTCCAAAATTCTCCTGCTTTACAGGGTTGGAAGCTACAGTTAGGGGATGGAGAGAACAGATGGACTTCCAACTAATAAACTAAATCAGGACTCATCCTAGTCTGAGGCAGGAAGAAGCCTGTAAATGGTCAGGCAGTGGGAAGCTTTGGCTCAACCCGAGCCCAATCCAGACTCCAAATTCAAAGTTCACTCCATCTCAACCTCAGCCCACCTTCCAACTAATCAGCCTCCTGTGCTAAGCCCCACTCCTGCCCCCATCCCCACTCGTCTCCCACACCCCCACACCCCCTCACCTCCCCCTCGCCTTGCGCACTCACCTAAGAGAGGCGATCGTTCTGGACAGTAGGGCAGACCTTGAGGACCCAGAGGGCTGCCTGGGGCAACAGCTGGGGCCCCAGACAGGTGACTGAGGTTACTGTAGACATCATGGGGATGAGAATAGTCAAATGTGGGCCCCTGCTCTCGGCCAAATAGGGCACTGAGGCTTCGGAAGCCCCCCAGTGACAGGTACATCATGACGGCCAGCTGGGAGCCTACAAGCAGGGCCAGCGTGCAGGGCCGCTCCAGCAGCCTCCGCAACATCCTGGGCTGTGAGGTCTGGGGAGGGAGAGGAGAGTGCTGGGGGCAGGCAGGACCAGCACAAGCCAACAGAGAACATCGTGTAGGGATGAAGGTGGTGCCAGGGGTAAAGAGGAAAACAGGCAAAAAAAGATAGTCGCAGAAGGGAGCACACAGGTGTGCAGTCATGCAAAGGGAAGAGAGAGACCGGCAACCATCAGCAGCCCCACCACCTGTCTCTTTCAGCCCAAGAATCACTCTCCAGCACCCTCCCCAACCCCCTCCTGCTATGTACTCTCGGTCCTCACCCTGAAGTCAGAAGAACCCCATATCCATTTCAGAGGAGTCTCTGGAGAACCTCCCTTCACATGTATAGGGAGAGACTCACCTAGGTTCAATCTGTGTTCTTCCAGATCGTGGGGGCTCTAGGGGGTCCCGGGGGAGCAGAGATGTGAGGCATTATCTAAAATTGGAAATGTCACAGAGGACAGGGACAGCCTCCACCCAACACTCCAGCGGAGCTCCTGGGACCAGCTGGAACAAAAGTGGGCGCGGGTTAGCTGCCCACCTGCGGAAGGGTGCAGAGGGGCAGGTGAAGGTGAAGCGGGTTTCCCAGCAGGGAAGTGAGGAAGGTGCTAGAAAACAAAAGGGAGGGGGGCCAGCAGGGCAGGTCCCTGGCCTCTCCCACCGGTGACCCTGGAGAGTCGGGTTAACTGCATACTCACCCATCCCCCACTCCAACAGGACCAACCTGTTCGGGAAGTGGGGACAGGGCAGCTAATGGAGACAGTATTTCCGCCAGGGTGCGAGGCAGGCACGACAGGACTGTGAAGTGCTCTCGAGAGAACCAGGGCGGAGCAGGAAGCAACCAGGTCCTCGAGCCTGGGAGCTGGCTCCTCAGGTGCGGGGAGCGTGACCCCCTGGGAACTGCACACGCCCCGAGGCGCGGCGGGGCGCGGGGGGGAGGCGGCCCTCCGCTGCCCTCGCGGGTCCAGCGGGGTGGGGAGCTCGCTGCTCCAGCGGGCGACACCTGTCCGGCCCCCGGCTGGCCCACCTGGAGGGTGTGGTCAGCGCCCGCAGAGCGTCGCCCCGAGCGCTTTCGAGCGCCGGCTCCCACCCAGCCTCCTGCGTGCGCCCTGCTCGCCGGTGCCCACCCGGCCTCGGTCCAGACTCCGCCTGCCTGCGACCCGCTCCCCTCCGGCCCGGCTGCAGCCTTCGCTGCAAACTTCTCGTCCTCCCGATCGCCCGCTCGTTCGTCCCGGGCCTCTCGCCCCACCAAGCCCGGGCCGCATACCTGGTCTGCGGCTCCCCGTCGTCACCGCCGGCCTGACAGCCGGGCAGGCACCTCCGCCGCCATCTTGGATGCGGGCACGGGGGGCGGGGCCGCGGGGCGGGGCCACGGGGCGGGGCGGGGCCGCGCGCTGCAGGCGGGGCTGGCGGGGGCCGCGGCCGGCGGGACGCAGCCTCCGGCGCCGCGCGGGATTCCGTCCCCACCCCTCGGACTTGGAAGCCGCTGCCAGACCGGACGGTCCTGGCTCGGGCCGGACGCTGCCCCAGAGGCGGAGCGCTGGCTTGGTGTCAGCGGCGCCCCTGCAACCTGCTGCCACGTGGTAGCAACGTCGGTCCTGCTCGGATACAGTGTTGCTGCCGGCTCTGGCGCACTTTGTATCCACACGGTGACCCTCGGAGTAGAGACCGTTGTCAATGCAACAAGGACTCTGGTTGTGGACGGAAGGGCTGCGTCTGCGTTGATGGAAAAGTTTCCCCAGATACCAGAGTAGAATGGACGCCCCGCTCAGATGCGATATGTTCGGTGGCCTCCACTACCCCTTAGCATCTTGTGTTTCTCAGGAGCAGATGTTCACACTGAGGACACTTGAAGAACTCAGTTCCTGCGTCGAGAGTTCCCAGTCAGAAAAATTGCAGCTCATTCACGGTGGGGATTGCAGAAAGGCTTCCCAGGAGAAGGAACAGCTAGTGGGGAACCTGGAGGACTTGTCCACGGCACATTCATCTGCTTTATAAGGCGTTGCCATGGAACCATTTTACAGCTCTGTGCAGGCAACTGATCGACACGCAAATTCTGCCTTCTCTCGGGGAGGCTCAAATAACCCAGTATTCTCCACACTGTAGAAAACAACACTTTTTTCCTGCATTTTCATGTTCATTTCTGTATTCCTGAGCTGTAAACGTGTCTGTTCTTTAGATTTCCTTTTTTTTTTTTTTTAATCCTCATTTTTCTATTTATGTTCAGATAGAGTGGGGGAGGGGGGGAGAAAGAGAAACATCCTGGACCAGGCCAGGGAGGAACAGCAACAGAGGTGCGTGCCCTTGACTGGAATCGAACCGCCACTCTGCTGAGCCATACCAGCTAGGGTTAGATTTTCTTTTGCACCGGTTGTAACATCTTCCTATTCCTTCAACAGTTAAGTAAAACCTCTAACATGTGTTTGTTTGTATATATATTCTGACAAAAACTTGACCAAACTTTGGACAGGCTTGGGTCCCCCACTTGTCTGAGCTCTTGTTTCAATTTTTTTTTTTTTTTCAATCCTCACCAGAGGACATTTTTCCATTTTTTGTTCAGATAGAGTGGGAGGGAGAGAGAGAAACATCGACGTGAAAGGGACACTTCAAGTGGTTGCCACCGCATGACCCAATGGGCCGGGGACAAACTGCAACCGAGGTACGTGCCCTTAGCAGGAACCAAACCTGGGTCTCTCTGGACTGCAGGCTGACGCTCTAACCGCTGAGCCAAACCGGCCAGGGCTGGGCCTTCTTTTCAAATGGATGTCATTCTCGGGCCTCTAGCCACTTTTCCAACAATCTTGCCAACCTTCGTATATGACCACCCTTGGCCTGCTTTTCATGAAAATCCTATTATGTTTGTTTAACAAGACTCTCCCTACCCTCGATATAATTATCCATTCACTGACCCTCTCCTGCTCACCAGCTATTAATATCCACTTGTCTAAACTGTTCAGAGTTGAGCCCAATCTCTCTCAGACTGGGATATTTTTGACACCTGTTGCAATAATCAATTTTAACAAGCGTCAGAATAATTTTTTTAACTGTGTGAGTCATAATTTCACCTTCTTTGAAAAGTATCTTCTAACAGATGAATGGTCTTCTGGGCAGAGGAAACCATAAATGCAAAAGTCTGGAAACGAGTAAGAAATGAAGGAATTTGGGAAATTAAAAATGGATCAGAAAAACTGGACAATAGAGTGAAGGGAATGGTGAGCTATGGGACTGGAGAGGTAAATAGATGCCAGATAATGAAAGACCCCAAGAACCACATGAAAATCCTGTGGGCGAGGATTATCCTGAGGGCGAGAGGAAGTCATCCAAGTGCTGTGCACAGAGAGTCCCGCGATCAGGACTTGAGGGAGTCACTCTGGTGGAGCTGTCACTGGAAGCAGAGATACCATTTAGGGGCCACTATGGAAAACTAAGAAGCGAAGTGAAGCTCATGCAACATAAGGTGATATTGGTGAGACCAGAGGGAAGAAGGGCTGACTTACTGCAGTCAGGTGGGTCATGAGGAAATGACTCTGTTCTTGTTCTAACCAGCCTGTGTCGAAACTTCCAGTCCTGCATCAGTGCCTGGGTAGACATCAATCCTCCAGGTAACCCTCTGATTACCCCAAATGACTAAAGAAAGAATGTTTGCTTATCCAAGCTCCCTGACACCATCATTCAGACCGTTGCTCACGTAGAGGATTTCCACTCCAACCAGTCCAGAACCGAGAATGCGGGACCAGTTCTTCTCACGAGGGTACTTTTTACGGCAAGAACGCTGAGCTTTTCTTTCTTCTTTGGAACATTCTGGTTATTGCCTAGTTGTGTTTCTAGTTTGCAAACCCTAATACCCTGAAATAAACCATCATTTATTTCTAGCCAAAGCCTCCTCTTTCTCAGGTTGTTTGACAGAGGATACCTTTAGGAACTTTTAGGAGGCAAACAGGGCTCAGTGACCAACCAGCTATGCCAAGTCAGGGAGTTAGAGGACTTCAAGATGACTGATTTCTAACATGGATCACTGGGTGTAAGGTGGTGCTGTTAGAGTAGGTAGTTAGATGGATAAGAACAGAGCAGAGAAATAACAAACTGACCAAAAAAAAAAAAAAAAAAAGCTTAAATGAACAAGAGAAAGGGGGAATAGAAACTAAAACAGCCGTCAAAGTTAGACAAAAACAAGGAAAAGAAATGCAATAAAAATGACGCCAGCACCAAAAAGACAGAATCTTACGAGATCCGGCAGGCACAGGAAATTCTAAGAAACACGCCAGTGAAACAGACCCAGAAAAGTCTGGGGGGCCCACCAGCTAAAGGACCAGTGGTGCTGGGGGATTAGGACAGAGCGTGGAAGGGGCCAGAGCAAGACAAGAGCCAGGACTCAGACGCTCTGGGAGCACTCGGGCCTCCCTGGGGCTGCCCACGTGAGAGGGCTGCCCACGTGAGAGGCCCTCAGGTGTACTTGCGCCTAAATAAAGCTTTGCCAGTTGCTGCAATTCCTGTCTCTTGTGTTGAAATCTTTCCTCTGGGAGACAAGAACACAGTCTTGCTGATCCCTAGCACTGCTAACATTACCATTTAATGAAAAACAAAACCTAGAAGAGGCACATTTGGGGAAAAGGGTAGAGATGACAGGTTAAACCTTAGACACAATGAATGTGAGGCTCCTGCAGAGACTCAACAGGAGAAAACCCTGGGCTCGGGCTCGTCAGCAACACCAAGTTAAAAGCCCCTGGGCTGTGATGCTGAGCAATACACTCAGCATCCGACAGACGAACCTCATCTTAAGGGTTTTGAAATGATTAGTGAGAGTTGTGGAAAAGTGCCAGCAGAGGGCCGACATGCAATACCACTGAATTTTCAACACGACGCAGGAACCAAGTAAAAGCCCTGGTTTTTAAGCAGCTCCTGTGTAGTGGAAGGAGAGACTTAAACAGAGACTTGCTCCTCCACGGTGTCCATTCCTGTGAAACTGGCCTCCCCTTCGATCCTCCTCTTCTCCCTACCACCTTCCAACAACTGCCCCCCACCCTGTTTCCAAGAACTTCCATCGCATCGCACCCTGGCCATGCCCAGGACGTCATCACCAGAACTGCTGTATTTCTGAAAATGTATATTCTAATATGCTGATTTCCACCACAGCCTCCTGTCTTTCTCTATTCTGAATAAATCCTGGGTCCTTAGTGGCTCAGTCATGACAACAACCCAGCCTTGTGATAAAAAACTAATTTATAATAATTTAAATCTCTATTTGTTTCTCAAGGAAACATCAGAGGTGAGAGGCAGGGGAGTGGAGCACATTTAAATGTCTTTATTTTTATTTTATTTTATTTTTTTTATCCTCACCCGAGGATATTTTTCCATTTTTTTTTTTTTTTTTTTGTACAGATAGAGTGGGAGGGAGAGAGAGGAAGGGAGAGAGAGAGAAACATCGACGCGAAGGGACACATCGAGTGGCCTCCACCCGCACGACCAACCAGGCCGGGGACAAACTGCAACCGAGGTACATGCCCTTAGCGGGAACCGAACCCGGGTCTCTCCGGACCGCAGGCCGACGCTCTAACTGCTGAGCCAAACTGGCCAGGGCTAAATGTCTTTATTTATTTATTTATTTTATCCTCACCCGAGGACACTTTTTCCATTTTTTGCACAGATAGAGTGGGAGGGAGAGAGAGGAAGGGGGAGAGAGAGAGAAACATCGACGTGAAGGGACACATCGAGTGGCTGCCACCCGCACGACCAACCAGGGCCGGGGACAAACTGCAACCGAAGTACGTGCCCTTAGCGGGAACTGAACCCGGGTCTCTCCGGACCACAGGTCCGGACCACAGGCCAACGCTCTAACCGCTGAGCCAAACTGGCCAGGGCTAAATGTCTTTATTTTTTAAAAATTAGTTTTATAGTTGTTTTTTTATCCTCACCTGAGGACATTTTTGCATTTATCTTCAGATAGGGAGGGAGAGAGAGAGAAACATCGATGTGAGAGACACATCGACTGGCTGCCACCCACACAACCCCATGGGGCTGGGGACAAACCGCAACCGAGGTACACGCCCCTTAGCGGGAACCAAACCCAGACTCTCTAGTCCGCAGGCCGCCAAACCAGCCAGGGCTTAAATTATTTTTATTAATTTATTTTTGTCACAGACATTTCTCTTTTTTCCCCCACTGACACTCTCCTTCCAATCATCCCCCCCCCCATTTAAATGCCTTTAAAATTCTTTCTCTCCCACTCAACATTTCCCCCCGGGAGGGTGGCTACTCCCCAGACAAGCCCTTCCAGCCCTGCTCCGCTCCTTACTCTCCACATCAAGTCTGTTCTCTTTGGTCACTTTGGTTTTGCCTAACAGAGCAGAGCCCTGGAGTGGGCAGTGCTTCCTCCTCCAGCACCACCCTGCTCACAGCCGACTCTGGAAAGGGAGGAGACACCTTCCAGGAGCACTTCTGTGTCCCCTCAGTGTGCTCGCACCCCTCTGTCACGGCTCACCACGCAGGTCTGGGGCTTTTGTCTTATAGGACTGGCTCAGACCATGAACTCTGAGGACAGGGACCATGTCTTCCCTTTTATCATCCCCTAAACAGAACCCAGAACTTTGGACACACATTCTACAAAATAACCCATCTTGGATCTGACCAACAGTTTTTTGGTGTAATTACTTTCTCGTACCGATGCAGGAGTGGGAGGGGACAGGCAAAAGAAGACATTTGAGGGGAAGGGAATCAGCATGTAGGACACTTGCCAGAAGCCAGGCACAAGGCCAAGCATGTCCATCATTCTGTTCTTCAGTTCTGACCTCTCCACAGGCAGGCAGTCTACCCATTTTCCAGATAAAGAAACTGAAGCTCACAGAGATTGAGTGATTTACGATCACATCAAAGCTTGGATTCAGTCTGACTCCAAGAATGTGCACCCTTCCCAGATGTGCTGGCAGCATGATTTGGTCCGTTTGTAGCCCAGCGGCTGATTCATTGAAACAAACAAATGGGATACGCAGTCAATTTTAATGAGGGAATTAGGTCAATGAATATACTTTCCTCAGACCCATTTTCAGGCCCAAATTCTCACCTTTCCTGCTTCTCGGTGCAAATTTGTGTCCACATGATCAAGAGCGTGTGCTAGTGTCTGGTTGGACGTGCATTTGTCCTGTGTGCTTGGGTTATCAGGGCTGGTAGGTCCTGTGGCTGGTGGCCCAGACTGAGAGATGCCTTAAATCTACTTCCTGCCCCGCCTTTACTGAGGTTCTCTAGGCCTATCCCCTTATAAGGTCCTGTCTAGGGAAGTTGCTCATGTTATTGGGCCTCCCCCCCAACCCCCCAGCATTTTTAGAACTGGTGGTTTCCCCCAGCTGTCAGCTGGTAAATGACGAGAGCAGTCAGGGACTTTGGCTTTCCCCCAGCAACAGTCAATGGGACACGTATTTGATTGGTTCGGAAGCATCCACTTAACCAATAAAATGTTAATACGTTGAGTTTTACTTTCTCCCCTGACAAGCCCTGACCAATGAGATGCTGGTTTTGTCACTGTCAATCTGGTGTTTCAGAAAACAAAATACTGTAATACTACATGGAGATTAAGAAACGGGGTGAGACGGAGTGGGTGTATAAATGAGTGGCCCATCCCACAGCACCCCCAGAAACTCGGCTTTCCCGCCCCCATCACAGAGGCAGAGGTTGGACAAATGCCCAGATTCCTCTGCTCTGACCACAGAGCAGAGTCTCAGGGGCGGAAAGAGCTTAAGGGAACTGGCCCAACTCACAGTTACTGCTTCAACCTCAAACACACGTGAACACTTGCGTTCACACGAGATGCTTCTCAGACTCTGCTTGAGCTCCTCCCCGGACAGGGCACTCACCGCCTCAGCGGTCACTGGCTCTTTGTTCTCCACCTCACCTCGTTCCCTCTCTTCCCTCTAAAACCACATGCTTGGATGTCTCAGTGCCTCTGTCCTTCCTGCGCCTCCCGTTTCTCCTGCTCAGCTCAGGAAGGCAGCACGCGGGAGGTCTGGGGAGATGGGACTCGCCTTGGCTCCTGCAGAGACAGAAGCGCTCCTCACCCTGGCAGGACAGAATCGGAGCCCTGACTTCAGGGTATTAGGCAGAGTCTGCAGCCTGGGTCTGGGAAGGGTGGCTGGGGTGAGCACTCCGGAAGGGCCAGGCCTTGTCTGGGACTGAGGGCCCGCTGCCTGGCTTCTCTGCCCTCCTCCCGCACTGTGTGCCTTCACCAACCCGCCCGATCACAGAGACGGCCTCTAAGCTCGGTCCCTTTCTGGGAAAGTCACACAAGGGTAACTTCCACAGTGAATGACCATGAGGAGGCAGGGCTGTCAGGATTCCACCCTGTAATTCTCCTCACCCAGTAAGCCCAGGCTCGGCCTCCGCACTGTTCCTTTGTCCCTTGTTATCCAGTTCTTTGTACCATCTCGTTGTTTGTCCTGTGGAGGTTACGTACACAACCTCCCCCGAAAGCAGCGAGCTCCCTCCGCCACAGCTCGTGCCTGTACTGTGTGTACCACGAGCTCACAGTCCTGGGGGTCTCATTCTGCTAACTGGATCACTGTGGCCGCGGCCAACAGCCAGGGCCAGGCGCAGCAGAGGGACCGTGTGTACTGGAAGGAAGGGAAGGGGTGGCCCTGTCCCCATAGCTGCTGAGGGCCAGGGGGTGGGCAGGGGGCATGGTGCACAGGGCATTGTATGAGGCCCAGCCTGGTACAGAACTGGACCAACAAAGCCCAGCCCAGTGAGCACAGTGCACACAAACCACCTCGACCTCCACAGCCAGCCTGGCCCCAGTCCCAGCTCCATATCTCCAGCTGCAATGGCCAATTGAGGCCGCCCTCGGTCCTGTCCCCTCTGCCACCCCCGCCTCAGGGTCTCCTCCCACACCTGCACAGCGTGGCCCTCCCCCATCCCTAGCAGCCCAGCTACTGCCACAAAATACTCCAAATTTCACACGGTCCACCTGCCACCGTTCCCCTCCGTGACACACACAGGACTGCTCCAGCTCTGACTTGAGCAGAGTCTCTTGCTCAGAAGTAGATGTTTCTAGGACCCTGCTGCCCTTCGAGTGTTCTGCCCACTGACACCTGGCCCCCCTCAGGCCCTTCCCCATGCAGCTGTCGTGCCCTCCTGCCTCCCACAAAGCACATTCTGCTCTTTCATTAAATCCCATTCTAACCTCCTATCTCCAAAGAAGTCATCTGGGTTCATGATTCTGGGGACCCTGTCACCAGGTGGTCAGAAAGGTAATCTCTCACATGGGTGTAGCCTTTACTACTTTGAAAATACTGTAACATTCATTTCCAGAACACCCTGCGGGAACCGGTGTTCGGGTGTTATTAGCCCCTTGTACACATGGGCAACCAGCTCAGGGTCAGCGAGTCACCCAACTCTAATGACATGAACTCTAACCCAAAGCTGCCCCGACTTCTGCTCCAGGGCACTTTCTACCACAACCGTTCCCAGACCCCAGTTGGCACCACTAAGAGCTTGTTCTGTCCATGTAGCTGCTCTCGTGACCGTCCACCTGCACCTTGTGATCGACTGTGGGGCAAGTCAAGTGCTTATTCCGTCCCGAGCGTCCTTTCTCTGACAGTCCCTCAGAACTCAGGACAGTGTTCCACCAACCAGAGGAGCTGGGGTGGGGGTAAGGGCAGGCCCCGCTGACAGGGGAGCTGAGCCCAGAGGAGCTGGGGTGGGGGGTAAGGGCAGGCCCCGCTGACAGGGGAGCTGAGCCCAGAGGAGCTGGGGTGGGGGGTAAGGGCAGGCCCCGCTGACAGGGCTCTTTCCATCTTCAAGTGCACCGCAACCTTTGGGGGGCAGGGCGGAGGCAGAAAGGTAAGTCACCAGCAACAGCTGCCATTCACTGGGCATTATGCTCACTGTTTATTCCCGTTACTTTAGTCCCCACAAGTCTCTAAGGGAGGTAATTTTTTTTAATATGTTTTTATTGATTTTCTAGATAGAGAGGAAGGGAGAGAGAGATCGAAACATCGATGTCAGAGAGAAACACTCATCAGCGGCTGCCTGCACACCCCCTTCTGGGGATCCAGCCCGAAACCGGGCATGTGCTCTGACCGGGAACCGAACCGGGACCTCCCAGCCCACGGACGGCGCTCCATCCACCGAGCCACGCCCCGGGGCTCTAAGGGAGGTATTATTACTGGTAGTTGAGGAGACTGAGGTTGAGACGTGAAGCCAGGACCCAGCCACGTCTGCCTGACTTTGAGGGGCACATAAATAGGGGCGCGCGTGGACAATGGATTCCGTTCACATTTACAGTGTGGTGATCCCTGCTCCCTGGAGACCCGCCTGCCCTCCAGTCGTCCTTTCCCGGAACAGACCTCAGGGAGCCGGAGCAGGGCCACTGCACATCATTCACAAACACCCACATTTTCACACAGACACACACAGGCCACTTCGGCTTATCATCTCCACCCGGGATTTCCTGGCCAGGGTGAGGCCATGAGGGGTGGGGTCAGTTTCCCCGGGACCCCTTCCCTGGTGCTAAATAAAAATGAATAAATACCAAATAAATATGACAGGGGCCCCCTCCCCTCCCCCGTGACCAGCAGGCAGAGGGGGACTGTCTCCCAGCCCTTCCGCCGAGGCTGCTGCCTCCAGGGCAGGATGGGGCAGGGCCGGCCTGCACGTTGTGGTGTGGGGGCTCGCCCCTTCCCACTTGTCCCGTGTGGGGCTCCTGCGAAGCCCTTTTCTCCCAGCTAAGTCCAGCCCCGGTGCCCAGACAGGGCAGCCGGGATGGTGAGGCTATTTCCTGCCAGCCCAGGGTCGCCGCCGGAGGATCTCCATAATCTGTGCCTTGCGATGCAGCCAGTCTTGGGGAGCGGGGCGTGGCGGTGAAGGGGTTGGCTGGGGCACGAAGAAGCTGTACCGGATGCGTGTGTTCTGGGGGTCACCGGCCACCAGGACCTGCAGTGTTAAGGGCTGGACCAGTGGCCCGTGGCCGGCCAGCGTCTCAGAGGCTGCCGTGGCCCCACTGTAGCGCAGGCTCACCGCCCCAGGCAGCACCACGTCGGTGGCGGAGGGCGTCAGCGTGTATTCTCCATTGAGGGCGTAGGAGCCGTCTGCGAGCTTCAGCGCCAGGTAGAGGTTCCGGGGACGAGGGGTCCCCTGCTGCCGCACCAGGATGTGGGTGGCCCCCGCTGGTATGGTGACCACATTATTGTATCCATACCTGTGTGGAAGGAGGAAAGGTGAGTTCGGTTTTGTGCTGACATGTTCGTAACCCCATGATTGATGACTGGTAAATTTCTGTCTGACTTGTTCATAGCTCCAGAACTGATGACTGGGAAAGGCACTGTGTGCCCTCTAGCTGAACCTGTTTTGTAAAGAATTCTGGAATACTCCCTGCACCAAGAAATTGTTGGGAGTCGGCTACATGTCTGACAGAGTCCACGGAGCCTGGAGGTCTTGAGTCAGAGACTTGACCTCCCCCACAATCTTGAATTAGGCTCGCATTGTGTTTGTGCAGCTCGGGCTAAGTGTGACCCCATGTACCTTGAAATACCTGTGTGTGCCTGTGTGTGCCTGGGTGTTCCTGTTATCCGCAAGGCAAACTAATTCTATGCAGCATTGCTGTAGCCCTGGGCATTATATCAAGAAGATCCTATTTTCTTATATCATTAAACTTTTGCTGTAAGGTATGAAAGACATGTAATAAAGCATATCGGGGCTGATCTCCGAAGACTCGGTCACAGGAGTGTTCAGAATCAGATGCCGGCTGGATAATAAACGGCTCTTATTTGGACTTCAATTTTCTACTGGTCTTTCTTTGACTCTGTTGTGCCACAACAGCTTCTTCCGGAATCCCCTGAGCCTTGTGAACTTTGTGTATGTGTGTGTGTACATGTGTGAGTGTACACCTGTGGTGTATGTGTGTGAACACGAGTACATGTGTGTACGTGTGCTGAGTGAGTGGACATGAGTGTCTCCCCAAACCTATGTGAGTTGTCCATCCTGGGTCTCAGTTACCTGCAAATGTGACCTCTGCCCTCTGGACTTCACACCTGCTATCCCCTCACTAAGGTCCCCTTCTAAGCTCGACCTCCTTGGTGCCTGTCCTATTCCTACTGTCCCCCCATGAGGGGGCCACCTCCTGAGGGCCTGTTGAACAGGTGGGACACTCATTTCTTGCTCCTCTGTCTCCCCCATGAGACTCTCAGAGGAGGGACAGTGTTGAGTTCGCTTCTTACCCCCAGGCCGAGAATAGTGTCCAGGAAGGTGGGAGGAAGAAGTAAGTAGCGGACAAACCTGAACTTTCTGAAGGAGCCGGATTGCTTGCTGCAGCCAGAACCGTCCCCACCACACACCATGCACTTGTCAAACTTCTTTTTGGAGCCAATGACTCGGTCACAGCCGGCATGGATGCAGCGGCCCTGGACACACAGCGAGGAGCTGTCCGGGGAACAGGGAGTCCCGTCCACCACCTGAGGAGAAGAGAAGGCCGGATGCAAAGGGCTCCTCCCACATCCAGAGGGGCACGTAATCAAACAAGACTCGCATGGCACAAGGGCGGGGCCGAGGATGGAGTGGGAGGAGCCTGGAGTGACAGTAACCGATGGAAGCCACGCCTTCAGAGCAGCTCCCAATCACTGTGCTAAGTGCTGGGTAAACATTTATATGTAAATCTCACAACTGCAACCTGAGGGTTCTAGAGCTGGAACACTGAGGTTCAAAGAGATGATGAGCTTGCCCAAAGGTTACCCAGCCGGCGGGTGGGCGGAGAAGCCGAGATGGGAAATGCAGGACCGAGTCCCCTCACAGGTCTCAGACGTGATGCAGTGTCCCAGACAGACGCTAGAGGGCAGCCGGCCCGTGGGAATCCCCCAGCCCAGGGCCCAGGGAGACCCGGCTGGGAGCTGGGGTTCTCCTTCCTCCTTCAGTCCTGCCTTAGGTCCCATCGCGGAGACAGGGACAGGGGGGAGTAGGAGAGAGGAGGAGACACGGAGGGAGGACGGAGGCAGCGCTGCCTGCAGGGCCTGCAATGGGGGACCGCGCCTGCGGAAGCCCGCTGCCGGCCGTGTGTGAGCAGGCCCGGGCCCCACGCTCACCCGTGGCTCCAGCACGTAGTAGTAGCCCAAGGCCCGGGCCTGGCAGGTGAGTTTGCACTGGTCCTGGGGGGCCACCCCCGTGTAGCGAGGCACCCAGTCCATGGGCCCCGGGAAGCTCTTGAAGAGGTCGGTGCGGTGGTTGTAGGCAGCACACTGCTCTTCACGGAAGGTCAGCGCTGTGGACCACGCACAGTCAGGGCCCTCTCCACACGCCACCCGCAGCCCCTGCCCCTGCACCGCGCCCCTCGATCTCCACCAGATGGCACCTCTCCCCCGACACACTGCCAGGGACAGGTCTGGACGGGCAGTCACTGCTCTCCGTGCGGGGACAGTCAGCACCTCCCGGGTCCCCGAAGCCCTTCCCCCCCTCCCCCCGGGCCCAGCCTGTCCCAGTCCTCACCTGAGCCTGCAGGACAGTCCTGGGTGCTGCAGGAGCGGAAGCGAGTATGGCGGCCCTCACAGTACTTGCCACCGTTCCGGGGGACAGGCTGTGTGCAGTCCCGGGAGGAGAACTGGACACCGCCCCCACAGCTCCGAGAGCAGGCACCCCAGGATCCCCAAGGACCCCAGCCACCGGCCTGTGGGATCTGCAGCAGCACAAGATGAAAGGGCGGTAAGCCGACTTTCTCCTGGGCTCACCGGCCCCTGCCCCAGGCCTTCTGCCCCGCCCCTGCCTGGGCCCTCACCTTAAAGTCCTGGAGCTGGTCCACATGGAGGCAGCGGCCACCCATGCAGGCCTGTGAGGGCCCACACGGGGTGCCATCAGCCCACGGTGAATGCTTGGTCTGGCACATGGCATGACCGTTGAGATGCCCAGAGCACCAGAGGGCAGCACAGGGCGGCGGCAGCTGCGGACAGTGGTGTGAGTCGGGCCCGAAGGTCAGCTGGCACTGGCGATCTGCGTCATAGTCTTTGCCAGGGAAAGTCACAGGCAGGTGCAGGGGGGCCTCCGGCTTGTCCAAGAGACAGTGCCCTGGGAAGGAGGCGGGAGTGTGGAGTCAGGTGGGACCAGGCGGCACTCCGGACTGCCATCTGAGAGCCTGGGCTGCCTGGGGCCTGATGGATCCTCGGACCCAGATCCTGGGCTGTAAGAAGCTTTGAAAAGCAGCAAATGTACTAGGTGCTTGCTCCTGATGCGCGTCGGCGCCCTGCTGTCTGACACCGGCTCGTGTCACCGTGGCCAGACCCAGAGGCAGTCACCATTATGAGCTGCCTCACGGTCAGCCTCAGAAGCAGAGGTACATGGTCACATGTCCACACACATCTGAAGAACAGAAGCAGGACAGGAGCCGAGCACCACAGCGTCCTACCTGCTCTAACCGACCTCAGAGCTGCTGGGTCTGCTTCTCCCAGCAGCCCTGCCCAGGGACGGTCGCCCTGTGGGGCTTGCACACCTCAGGTGCCTAGGCCGTCATTTCCACAGCCAGCTCCTTGCAGAGTCGGGCAGCTGTGGCCCCGAGAAGGTCAGGTCTCATTCTGCTGAGGCAACACGTGCCTCCCCAGCTGTGCCTCCTCTGGGAGGAAGGGACCGCACAAAGCAGCAGTGTTTCTTGCCCATCCCACACTGTAGAGGGTCAATTCAGCCCAAGCAAAGGAGGCAAAAGAGAGTCCAGCGGGGGCAGGAACTGCGTCCTGTCCAGGGAAAGCACAGCTCCCCTATGCCTACCGTGGCCACTGTCCAGGAAGTCCGTGATGAAGCGGGCGCTGCAGGGGGACCAGGGCTCCTCGGGATCCACGTGAGCCATCACGGGGGCCATGACATGACGAGAGGCGCTCCCAAGCCCGTTCAGACCGACACAGGGCTTTGAGTTGTCGTGGAGCATGTTGAACACGTGGCCTGTGAGAGCAGAGGCCCTGCTGGAGTCCAAGGGTCCCTGCCCTGTGCCTTCAGGGTGCTGCAGGGTCATCATAAACCTCATTGCAGCTGTCGATGGCCCTACCCTGCCCCAACCCCTTCTGGTGCTCTGAGGGTTCCTTAGTATGTAGCTTCATCAGAGCCCCCCTTCCCTTCCCCCAAATATACTCAGGGCCCCTCCTTACCCACTTTCCCTTGTAGCCAACATCCCCAACCCTGAGCTCACTCATTCCATCCGACTCTCAAGAATAATTCGTCTTTCAACGCTGTGCCGTCTCCTCACACACACAGTTACGGCTTCCACACACTATCTCACTTAAGAGAAAACCCTAAGTGTCTGTCTATACCCAGAGCAGAGAAGAATGGGGGCCCGGGACCGGGACCGAGGCCTGGAGAGGAGGAAGAAGCACCTCAAGGCCTCATTTGCACCCTGGTGAGCCCACAGTCTCCTCGCCTCACCGGACACCTCTTTCACCGGCGCCATGCCTCAGGCCCCGCCCGCCGTACCCAGTTCGTGAGCAGCGGTGAAGGCTGACTGGAGCCCGTCGTCCTCCACGATGGCGCAGCTCCGAGCCGGGTCGCACACAGTGCCCACGTCGGCCATGCCCAGGGTGTCACAGGTAGAGACCCCACACAGGTCCTGTGGAGCGGACCACAGAAGATGCATGAGGAACCAGTGAATCGGGGTCCACTGGGCTGAGACCCGGAGCAGTGGGGACTCAGGCAGAGGGGCGCCACCGCACGCAACTGCAGGCACCATCCACGTCACACTCCATGCGGCAGTGCTGCCGGAGTCTGCAGAGGGCGGCCTGTGGCACCAGCCTCACCTGACGGGTGAACAGAATGGCTGTGTCAAAGTGGTCTGGGTCCGAGTCCTCAGGGGTGTTGAGTCCTCGCTGCCAGGCACAGAAGCTGCGCAGGGTCTGGGCGGCGCTGGGCCCCACCTGGGGCCCTTCCTCTCCTGGCCCTAGCACCACTAGCCGAGTCACCACCAAGCTGACAGGGTTGCGGATGCTCGGGTGCTTGAAGGCCTTGGCTGCGGCCGCCAAGACTGTGAGCAGGTAGTGCTTCAGCCCTGCGCCGTGAAATGCTGCCATCGTGTCATCTGCCACCACCAGGGTCTCCACGTATCTACTCAGGGAAGCAAAGCGCTAGGGAGAAAAGGGAGAGAAGGATCCTGAAATAGCCTCCGACGCCACGGACCACTCCCCTCCAGTGCTTCCTGGCTCTGCACCCGCAGAGCAGGCTGGACTGCTCACACCCACCCACCAGACTCCCGGTGGTCTCGCTCGGTCCCGCCCCCAGCCCCGAATCCCAGAGCTTTTGTGCTAACTCTGAGAAATCAGCTGTGGTTCAGAGATGGAGAGGAGGGGGGTGCCGAATCCCAGGGCCACCAGGTCCCCAGAGGTGAAGAGCAGTTGGGACTGCTTCTGGGAGGGGCTCTGGGGGCTCCGGGCCTGTGGCTGGGCTGCAACGTGTCTGCCCTGTGTGGTTGGAGGAACAATTCAGTCAGCAGCCAGGGCTGGGGCCAGAGCTCAGCGTGGCATGTACAGAGAGCGTCTGGTCTGGATTACAGCTGGGAGGGAGGGAGGGGATCTGGAGTGGGAGGGAGGGAGCGATGGAGCCTCCGGCAGCCTTGCAGTCAGGCCAGTGTGGAAAGGGGACTGACCAGGATGAGGCGTGGGAGGCCTTTTCTCCCGTCCACTCCTGCCCTAGTTTGCAGTTTGCCGGGACAATTCTGAAGGCAGTATCAGAAGCCAGAACCCAGTCCCCTGGGCCTCTAATCTCACTCCTTTAGCGTGTGTGTGTGTGTGTGTGTGTGTGTGTGAGATTGTGGGGGGGGGTAAAAAATAAAATTTGGGGCACAGAAGAGTCAAGGCCAAGGGACTGTGAGGAGAGCCTTCTATCTGGGGACGGTGACAGCAGGATTCCAGGCAGGGCTGGGTGGGAAGAGGAGGGTCACCCCCAGCACAGAACCTCCGACCCACCTCTGGGAACCCTGCTTGGGATAAGGGTCTGGCCAGGAGAAGGGTCAGGGCAGAGAGAAGCCAGCACCTTCCTGGGAGGCTCATGGAAAGAGCAAAAGCCAAACGAGGGGAGAAGCAGAATGATCCGAAGCAGAAGTGGGTGGAGAGGGGACACAGGGGTCAGTGGGACAAGCGCGGTGGGAGGTAGCTGCAGGACAGATTCCAGGGTGGCCTACCTTGGCTCTTCGAGGGCTGGGCCTGGGGTTCCCAGGAGGAGTCTTGACGCTGCACATAGGGCCCTGGCCGCTGGTGGGACTCTTCCTGCGTAGGATGTGAGCCCCAGGCCCCCCTGCAGAGTTAGGGGTGCCTCCCTCCAGGGGCTGGATGTGGAGCTCGGTCCCCCGATACTGCAGCACCCCTAACAGGGCTCCCTCGTCCCAGTGCAGAGATGCCACTGACTCTGGATCTCCGTTGATGGTGCCAGTGAGGTAGGTGCCTGGCTCCGCCCCACCCAGCAGTTCAGGCACCTGGCCCAGGTACTGCACTGTCAGCCCCTCCACTCGCACGCCCGGGTCTTGCTCCAGCTCTAGCAGCAGTGTCTCCCCAAAGGCAGGCAAACGGTACCACAGCCTGGCAGGGATGCCCAAACCAGGCAGGACGCTGCTGTTGAGTTTCTCAGGAAACACGATCTCCTCCTCCCGGGGAAGGGGGCTGGCCAGCCGGGCTGAGGGCAGGAGGGAGGTCAGCAGCAGCAGGAGCCACACCAGCCCAGGGAAGGTCACAGTGGGGAGCAGCAGATGGGGTTGTGCTCCCCACAGCCAGCTGCCCGTCCAGCCCCTCCTGGGGTGTGGGTCCGGCTGGGACATGGCAGGGTGCTGAAGCTGGGAGACACTGAGGCCGTCTGGGTACCGCGTCCTTCACACCCAGGCTTTGTGGAAAGCTCCTCTCTGCAGCCTGGGGCTCGGACTAGCGCCGGGATAAGAGGCAGAGTTTCAGAGGGGCTGGGGACCTTCAGATGAGACGGAGAAAACTTGCCCCTGGCTTGGGAGAGGTGCCTAGTGGCCCGGCTCCTGCAAACCTTCCTCTCCTGCGTCTGTCTCTCCCTGCCTCTGTCTCCTGCAGCTTCTCTGGCCTCTCTCTGTCCGCCCCAAACTCTGGCTTCGCCTCTGTGCCTTTGTCTGTCTCTCTCCTGCCCTCTCCTGTGTCTCTGTGTCTGTGGGTCTCCCTGAGGGTTCCTACCAGACTCTCTCCCCGCCAGCTCTTTTAAGCATCCCCAGCCTCTGCGATTGGCTGAGCTGTAAGCCATTCAGCCAGCAGCTCTGTTGGTAGGACTCAGATGGGTGTCTCATTCCTTCCCAAAAATCCTAGTTTTTGTTTTCCTTTAAAAAAAAAAAAAAAAAAGAGGGACTTGCCCACAGGAGCAGGATCCCTAGCAGCGGATGGAGGATGGGTCATAAGGCACTGGGCCAGCTGATGACATCGCCTTTTCCCAAACCTCACAGTCAGCTCTCAGCTGTCTCTTTCCCTATGTGGTGCACAAAGCCCCAGGAGGGCTAGGAAGTCAGGGAAAGGGCCAAGGTCCCAGGGGGATTCTGGCTCCGTCTACGCTGGCATGACTTCCCCTTTCTCAGGGATCCCCCGGGGCTGCCCTTTGCCCCTAGAGGCGGGGTTTCCAGGGCTGAGGAGCCTGAGTGAACTGCCGGGAAAGAGAGTGGGGAACAGGTAAGGAAGCACCAGGAGGTGAACAAAGAAAGGAGGTGTCTTGACATTGTCTGGACAGGACTGAGCAGCTGGAGAGAGTACAGGAGGCAGGGAGATGGGCTGGGCGGGAAGACAGTGATCAGGGAATTTACTGCCCAGAGGTAGGGTGAGTCTGCTAAGAATGGGCACATGGAGGGGGCATCCGGCAAGGCAGGAGAGTTACCACTCTTCCTTTTGTAGGAGGACCCAGGGTGGCACCTCTTCTTCTCTACAGTCCAGTGTCTCTCCCTCAGGCTCCCCCTTCCTGAGTTACCACTTCCCACCCCCTCCAAGGCCTGGAACAGCCATTCCACCTCCATTCCCCCCCAGGCTCCCCCTCCTCACTTCCTGACTCCCCATTCCCTGGCCCAGCTCCCAGTAGCTTCCCTCAGGCTTTTGGCCTGGCTCCTACCCACTCCCAACTGCCCTCAGGCCTCCCCAGCCTGCAGTCAGCCGCCCAGCGCGGGAGAGACTGGCTCTTAGGAGCCCATTTGCATCCAGTGCCTGCCCCTCGGAGGGAATCCCCACCTGGCTCCCTCTTCTGGCCCCACCTTGCCCTGAGCACCCAACGGGTCCTGGAATATCCAGTCATCCTTTATTTCTCGTTCCCATGGGACAGGGACAGGGTGGAGGAGGCACTGTGTGTACATGGAAATTAGGATAGTAACAGAAACAGGAGCCCAGGGCCTGAGGTGGGGAGTGGAGGGAGGAAGAGGTGATGTCAGGGAGAGGAAGCAAAGTGACTCCCTTGGTTCTGGGCTGCAGAGAACTCAGCAGACAGGTCCTGGGAGCCGGCTCCCAAGGCCAGGAGCGAGGGGTTCAGAGGCAGGGCGCGTCGGCTGACGCCTGGGGCCACGCCCTTCCCCAGGATTTCCCCAGGAAGGAGGGTGCAGTGCGTGGTCCCTTTCCTTTCCCAGAGGACCACCTGCCCCACTTGTCCACTCGCTCCGCCTTGTCACCTCCTGCCCCACATCATATCCTTTCCCCTCCCTTCCTGCTGGGGCGCTAATACCTGCCCTCGTGCCCCCTGCTTCCTGTATCACCCACTCGCGGTGACCGCCAGACCCACCCTTGACCCACCACGTGCCCCGACCCGGGCCCGGGGCGGAGGGGGTTGGGGCTGCCGGAGTCACACAAAGGCGGGGAGCCCAGAAGGGGCAGGAGGCGCTGTCACCAGAGGACTCGCGCTGCCCCTTCCACCCCCATCCCGAGATGAGGACAAAGGGGTGACTACGCAGCGAGGGACAAAGGGCCTCAGAGCGGCAGCGGCAGTATGTGGGGGGTGAAGCCGCAGCGAGAGGGCACAAAGGCCGCAGTGTCCTGGGCAGCCCCCCAGGAGCCCAAAGCCCAGTCCCAGCTCCCGCCGTCCCCGGGGCCCAGCAGCCCGGGCTGCGTCAGGCTCGGCCCAGGCAAGGGCGGGCGGGTGGGGAGGCGCGGGCAGCCTCGCCGGCTCCGGGGCTGTCCCGTCTTCCCGCGCAGGCAGTTCCCAGCGCCGGGGCGCGACCCCTTGGCGCGGCTCCCGGCCGGGCCGCCGTCTGGCTGGGCCCAGCCTCCCGCCTGTCCCGCCGGCTGCACGCGGACGGGAGCGGCCTCGGGGCTGCAGGGCTCCTCTGCACCACACGGACCGGGGCTGGCCAGGCTGGAAGTGATGCCCGGCACCCCCCAGGCCCTCAGGCCACTCCAGGGGGCCCGCACGCTGCTGGCCTTGCCCCCGGCGCCCTCGGACCTCCCGAACCACGTGGGCCATCCGGACGCGAGCGGGCTTTGGGGGTGACTGGCGAGGCCTGCGGCCACCCCAGGAGGGCAGGGGCGCGCAGGCGGGAGAGCGCGAGGCTCCGCGGGCTCCCGCCCGGAAAGGCCGGTCAGGAGCGGTGGGACAGGCGCTCCCCGCTCCTGAAGCCACGGCGAGGCCGAGGCGCACAGCCCGACGTCGTCAGGTTCCGGTCAGAGACCTGCCAGCTTCCAAGATGGCGGCCGCGTGGTGCCGATAGGCGAAAAGCCCGCCCGGAAGTGCGTGGGCGGGACTTCCTCGCCGCCCTCCCCCCGCGTCCGCAGCGGGCAAGATGGCGGCGCTGAGGGCTCTGCGCGGCCTCGGGGGCGCCGCGGCCCAGGTGCTGCGGCCCGGGGCTGGAGGCCGGCTGCAGGTGCAGCCCAGCAGGTGAGACCCAGGGCAACCCGCCGATGCGCCGTCTGCAAGGCTGGGGACTCCACGGTCACTAAGGCCCCCTAAGAAAGGGTGACCTGGCCCTGTGACCCCTCGCCCAGGCCCGCTGTCTGGGGCTCCAGGTGCCGCGGCGCCCGCCCTGGGCGAGGAAAGAGGGTCTGGAGCTCGTTCGGCCATCGGTGAAATCAGGTGGGGGAGACCCTGCCCCAAAACGTTCAGATAATGGTCCTTTCCCTTTTCTCCGCTTCTCCGGACCCCCGTCACGGGTGGGGTGCGACCGGTGACACGTAGGGGAAGATGAAAGGAGGAACACAAGCGGGGACCCCGGGCTGGCCCGGGCCGTCGCTCTGGTCATACCTGCGCCGAGCCACGGAGCCAGCGTGCGCCCTGTCTCCCGCTGACCTTGAGTGAACAGCTCCCTCGCGTTCTCGGGCCGGAGTATGGATGAGGCCGCCAGTGCAGGGGCTGGATCCCAGCCTTCGTGCCCAGGGGCGATGGATGAAGTGATTCTGGGGATAAGTTGTGAGGGGGATGGAACGTCTAGGGGTCCAGCTGGTTCTGCCAAAGGTGCTCTAGCCCGTGTCAGTGACCTGGCCTTGAACACCTTCCCCAGGGTGTGCACCCTTGAGAGTGAATAGGAACAGGAAAGGGGCACTGGTCAGCTGTGTCTTTAACTCCCTAGAGGTGCCCGGCAGTGGCAGCCAGATGTGCAATGGGCAGAGCAGTTTGGGGGAGCGGTCATGTACCCCACCAAGGAAACAGCCCACTGGAAGCCTCCACCTTGGAATGGTGAGTGCCCAGAGCCCCTGTCACAACCTGGCTTGTGTTGCTCAGCTCGCTGTCTTAGGCAGATTGTAGCCACTCTCCTGTTTGATTCTATGACCACGCAATACAGTGAAGATAATAGTGGTCATAGTAGGTATTTGTAAAGTAGAGAAGGGACAAGAATATTTCAGGAGAAAAGAAAGTAGGTCCCAGCCAACTCTCAGAGGTCCCTACCATATTTGTATCTTTAACTTCAGCTTTTCCCAGAGGTCAGCGTGTTTCCATCTCCCTGTCTGGACAAGGTGGTTTTCCTGCTGTCACGCAAATGCCTACTTCCTGAACACGTTCGTTTTCCTCTTTTCATCAAAATCAGTTTTTCACTTTGACTTTTGATTCTGACCAGTGGCACTGGTTTTCTCTTAATCTCTCAGAATGGACACTTTTTAGTCACCTTTGGCTCAGTTTTCTCTCTCGTCCTTCATGTCTGTGTCCAGTAAGTCACTAACCCCAGCAATTCTTTCAATTTTTCACATCCGGGCATCTCTCCCTTTCTTGTTCAGATTTATTTTGTATCAGACCTTGATTGTTTCAGGAGTCTCTTCACTGGGTTTCTGCCCCTGACCTAGTTTCTGTCCAGCTATCCCACACCATGTCATTGCTGTCATCGTCCCTGGACGTCGTTCACCGTGTCAGTCGTTCTCAGGCTCAGAAACCTTCAGAGGCACTTCCAGTTACTTTTTAAAAACTTAACACTAAAAGTAGCTGGGTGCTCATCGTGTGCTAAGTGTTTTGTGTCAGTCCTGACAACAGCTGAGATTAATGCTAGTATTCCAATTTTGAGGACATTGTGATGCAGGGAGATTAAAACTTGATCAAGGACACACAGGTGGAATTGTACTGGGGTCTGTCTGACTCCAAAACCTACAGTGAAAAATTTGGTTGAAAAGTTCAGCTCTGGTTTCAAATCTTAGTTTTTCTTTTACCAGTGAATAAAATATCTACTTTGTAACATTAATGTTAGGAATAAATGAGGTAACAATAACAAAAGCCACTTAATGTAGTGATTGGCACATGGCAAGTCTTCCACAAGTGTTGTTAATGATACTACTGTTTGCCAACACTAATCTGTCTCGAGGCAGGTAAGAGTTCCAGATATTTACTTCCCTGTATCTAAGATTTGGCCCGTGTTGTTCCATAGCTGGGGTGTCTCTTCTCTCTGCCTCTCTGAATCATTTAAATGTAAGAGCCAGCTCAGGTCCTACAAGTCTTCAGAGTGTTCGTTCTTTCTTTTAAATGCTTAGTGGAAAGCCCCTTAATTGGTAATTTGTCGGTTTGACCCGTGTTACTAGTTTCTCACATGTGTTTGTTTCCCAAATTAAATTGTAACCTTCTTGAGGGTCAGTCCTGTCATTTAATAATAGTAAGAATTAAGTACCCAGCCATGGCCAGCATAGTAGCTCAGTAGGTTGGGCATCGCCCCACGCATGGAAAGGTGGTTGGTTCAGTTCCCGGTCGGGGCACATGCCTGGGTTGCTGGGCTGGATCCCCATAGGGATCATGCAGGAGGCAGCTGATCGATGTTTTGCTCTCACATCAATCTTATCTCAATGTTTCTCTTTCTTCTTCTCCCTTCCTCTCCCTCTAAAAATCAATAAACTATTAAAAAAATAATCAATATTCATTTCCTGGTGGGCCATCATCAGATGCATTTGGAGAGCAGTGCATCCTGGGGGTGAAGACTGGCCCCTGTTGCTGCACAGGCCCAGTGCAGTCTCGGCTCTGCCACTTACTAGCTCGGCGTGAAGTCATTTATCCTTTCTGACCTCATCTCTGACAGTACAATGAGGGTGACAATGTACCTAATACTCCTGTCATTGTTGTGAGAATTAATTAAAATATGTAAAGTGCTCAGAGTAGTGCAGGGCACATAATAAGGGCCATGTAGACATTAGGGATTATGAGTATGATGCTGATGATGACGATTCAAAGGGTATTCTGGGCGACATGGGCAGAGTGGGTTTGTAGGCCCGTCCTCAGAAGGCTTTTTCCACCCCATGGCCTTCCTGGAGATTAGGAAACAAACGGTGTGGAGTGGGGGGGGGGGGCAACTCTTGCTGCTGCTTGGGGAATCTCAGAATTGCCATTGGTTCTGAACTCTTTCCCACCTCTCAGATGTGGACCCTCCAAAGGACACGATGGTGTCAAACCTGACCTTGAACTTTGGGCCCCAGCACCCGGCAGCCCACGGCGTGCTGCGACTAGTGATGGAGCTGAGTGGGGAGATGGTGCGGAAGTGTGACCCTCACATTGGGCTGCTGCACCGAGGCACCGAGAAGCTCATTGAGTACAAGACCTATCTGCAGGTGTGGACGCACAGGGGCCTGGGAATGGGGCCTGGGCCGTTGCCACATGCTGCGCTAGAGCTCCAAGCAGAGGGTTTTGAGGGAGCACCCTGTTGAGGCTGTTAGGACAGTCTCGGTTGGGAGGAGGGAGGGAAGTGGCGGGGGATGCGTGCCTTGGGCCGCCTGCACTCGGTTCATCCAGCAGAAATGCTTTGCCGCTAGAGCTGCACTCCCAGCTTTCCTTGGCTGACTTTTGGCCGCCCCTTTGCCCTTCCTGTAGTGCCTCAGTTTCCCTGCTCTTATATCACACTCGGACGGACGTCAAGCCAGGGTCCCCGGGGGCAGGGACAGAGCAGAGAGACGTCAGCTCCTCAGTGTTAACAGCCAGTTCTTATATCTTCCAGCTGTCTGAGTTTGTTTTCGAAATACTCAGTGAGTCAGAGTGACCGGGAGGGAGTCTGTGACAGAGTTAGCCATTTTTAGGAGAGACGGATCCAAGTGGTGAGGATCAGAGTTGAAGGAATTGGATCTGGGGTAGGAACCTAAGGTTCTCAGCTGTCATGAAGAAGAGTCGCTAAGAGGTGGTGGGTCGGGGCGAAGAGCCAGCCGACCAGCTCGTGCTTCGTCCTGGAGGCTCAGGCAGCGGTGGCTGCTGGTCCCAGAGTCCACAGCATTAACTAGGCAGCATTGCCCCACGTCACAGTGACATCAGAACAAGAACTGGCTGTCCCAAAGAAGGGCAGTTCAGCTCCACCTCCTTCCTGGAAGCTGACAGCTGGGTCTTCATGTCTGGCATTCTTGGGGCAGAGCCATTTCTACCAGAAATAAATTCCGTCTTCCTCCATCTGCACTCCCCGGGCAGGGACTCTCAAGACTTCTATCTGGAGGAGGGTTGGCAGTAGGGTGCTGGACCCAGGTCACCCTGGGTCACAGGACAGGTTGTTAAATTTTCAGGAATTTTGTGAGCCAGTAGTTAAACAGCCATTGTTTAAATTATATTAGCTTGCGATTTAATACGTTATATTAAAAACCAAGGGAGGGCCCCGGCCAGTTTGGCTCAGCGGTTAGAGTGTCGGCCTGCAGTACGGAGACACCCGGGTTCGGTTCCTGCTAAGGGCATGTACCTCGGTTGCAGTTTGTCCCCGGCCCTGGTTGGTCGTGCAGTTGGCAGCCACTCGATGTGTCCCTTTCACGTTGATGTTTCTCTCTCTCTCTTCCTCTCTCGCCCTCCCACTCTATCTGGACAAAAAATGGAAAAATGTCAAATGTCCTTGGGTGAGGATTAAAAAAAAAAAAAACAAGGGAGGAGGTGCCCACACGAGATTTTGGGGTGCCATACTCTGGAGTGTTTGCTAGTGTCTGTGCTGGAAGTGCCGTATGTGGCCGCACTACCCAGAGCTCTGGTCAGTTATGTGACACGAGGAGGTGAAAATAGTCCCTGGTCAGAGTATTTTCACCCAGGGTTCCCTTTCCAGCACACTGCTGGTGATTGGGTATCCATCCTGCCCCGCAAGGGTTCCTGCCCTGAGGGGGGACCTGGTTCCTCCCTCTCCCCAGGCCCTTCCGTACTTCGACCGGCTGGACTACGTGTCCATGATGTGCAATGAGCAGGCCTACTCGCTGGCTGTGGAGAAGCTGCTGAACATCCAGCCTCCGCCTCGGGCACAGTGGATCCGAGGTACACCTGCCCTCCTGTGGCCCAGGCTTCGTGTGCAGGCCCTACCCTCTCCCAAGGCCCAGGCTTAGGGTGCAGGCTTCGCTTCTGCCCAGGGCTACTGTCAGCCCCCTCCTGTCTCCCCGTCTCTGCAGTGCTCTTCGGGGAGATCACACGGCTTTTAAACCACATCATGGCTGTGACCACACATGCACTGGACATTGGGGCTATGACCCCTTTCTTCTGGATGTTTGAAGAAAGGGAGAAGGTATGAGAAGGAGGGAAGGGTAGGGATGAGGAAGGAGATGAGGTAGTGGTGAAGGTACAAAGGGAAATGAGAGGACCCGGGGAACGTTTAGGGGAGGAAGTGTACTTGGTGAGGGGCAGGGGGATGCGCCTGACTCGGGCCAGAAATCTCTCCAATTTCCTGGGTGTCCTGTCCAGATGTTCGAGTTCTACGAGCGCGTGTCCGGGGCTCGCATGCATGCTGCTTACATCCGTCCAGGAGGCGTGCACCAGGTGAGTGGCTCCCAGCTTCCGTCCGTGCCCATGGCCTTTGCTACCACTGGAGGGCAGCACTGGCCGACGGAAAAGCCACCCTGCGGCCCTCCAGAGGCTCTGCCGTGTTCACTGTCACCCTCCTTTTGGCTCCCAGGACCTACCCCTTGGGCTTATGGACGACATTTATCAGTTTTCTAAGAACTTCTCTCTTCGGATTGATGAGGTGGAGGAGGTGAGAGAGGCATCAGTGGGAAAAATCATCCCTGTTTTCTCCCCAAGAAGGGCTTGTGGGGTTTTGGTCCCCAGTGCTAAAGAGACACAGGTGTTTGAAGTTTGAAAGGTGTTTTCTTGACCAACAGATGCTGACCAACAATAGGATCTGGCGAAATCGGACAGTCGACATTGGGGTTGTGTCTGCAGAAGAGGCCCTGAACTACGGCTTCAGGTGGAGCAGTAGCTTCTCCCGGGGGGGCGGGGTTCCAACCAGAAAGCTTGGCTGCAGGACCGGACCTCCCTGGACACGCTCTGAGTCTGTGTCCCTCCCCAGAGCAGGGGGAGTGGAGGGGACCCTGAGGAAGGGAGGGTGCCTTTCTTGGTTTGTGGAGAGCGACCCGTTCCCGTCTGTGCAGTGGGGTGATGCTGCGGGGCTCAGGCATCCAGTGGGACCTGCGGAAGACCCAGCCCTACGACGTGTACGACCAGGTGGACTTCGACGTCCCGATCGGCTCCCGAGGGGACTGCTATGACAGGTGAGGCCCGGACCCCCGAGCTCTCTGTCGAGCTGGGTGCCTGACGCCAGTTGCCTTCTTTCCTGTGTGTGCGACACGGATGCTTTCAGTGCACTTCCCCGTACATGACACTTTGTTTTGCCTTTACTTCTCCTACGTCTCAGGAACAGTTTGGGCTGCGTTTTACCACTGGGGAAGCTGAGGCTTAAAGGTTAGAGGTTAGCCCGTTAGTGATGAGACTAAACTTCTGACCCAGGCTCTTTACACTCAATTCTAAACCTCAAATTCTGTTCCCGTTTACTGACCTTGAATAAGATTTGCTGTTTACTTTTTGAGTCTAGTTGACTCTTAGCTGTTCTGTACTCCAGAAAGCGTTTAAGAGAGTGACTGAAGTGGGAAACGCTACCGGACAGGGTCTGAGAAAGTTAGCAGGGAACTTGGGGACAGGCCCAGGATCAGAAGGCTCTCCGTGGTGGCCAGGCCACAGCCAGGTGCTCCACCGGGAGAGGAGTGAGCGAAGGTCTCAGCGCTGTTCAGGTCGGCAAGGGCGTCACATCTGACCCTCCGGTGGTGTCTCTGTTCCCGTCTGTCTCGCCTCTCAGGTACCTGTGCCGGGTGGAGGAGATGCGCCAGTCCCTTCGTATCATCTCACAGTGTCTGAACAAGATGCCTCCTGGGGAGATCAAGGTTGATGATGCCAAAGTGTCCCCACCCAAGCGAGCTGAGATGAAGGTGGCTGCAGGGAGAAGGGGGGCCTCACTGGGGCCACAGTGGGAGGACAGTCCTGGGGCTCAGTCTCATTCCAGACAACTTACCTCTCGGGGCCCACTCGCTTCCTGTGTCTTCTCTGCTCACTTCTTAACTGTCCTGAGGCGAGAGACTGTCCTGTGCTGGGGGGTGGCTGGTGGGCCGTTTGGATCTGGTTGATTGATGCTCCCCTTTCCCTCCCCAGACGTCTATGGAGTCCCTGATCCATCACTTCAAGCTGTACACTGAGGGCTACCAGGTTCCTCCGGGGGCCACGTACACGGCCATCGAGGCCCCTAAGGTACGGGAGGAGGGAAGGAAGTGGTGTGCAGTGGGCGGCTGGAGACAGACCTCGGGGAGGGGAGGCGTGGGTGAGGAGAGGGTCAGCTGGCAGAGAGGAAGTGCCTTCCTGCTGATGGCCACAGCCCACTTCTTCCTGGAACAGGGAGAGTTTGGGGTGTACCTGGTGTCTGATGGCAGCAGCCGCCCTTATCGCTGCAAGATCAAGGCTCCTGGTTTTGCCCACCTGGTAAGAGCCAGTCCCGGTGATTCTGACTCCAGTGCATGAGCCCAGTATGACTGACCTGGCTGAGATTTCTGAACGTCCCTCTCCTCTGCCCTGATAACCTCTCCTAACACTGCTGCTGTCTCACTCTGCAGGCCGGTTTGGACAAGATGTCTAAGGGACACATGCTGGCAGACGTCGTTGCTATCATAGGTACACAGGCTGGGACTCTGTTCGGGGACAGAATCTGAACACATCCTGTTCTGCATAGGCTCTGTGTCTTGGGAACAGAATTCTGGATCCTGGGTAACAACATTTCCCCTCTTCCTGCCTCCTAGGCACCCAGGATATTGTGTTTGGAGAAGTTGACCGGTGAGCAGGACGACAGCATTACACCTCCCTGCCTCTCAACTTCCTGTGTGGGCCTGTCGTCACTGGAGATGGGGCTGTGTGCGTGCCCGGCACTCAGCTATCAGCTTTCTGTGCATGTGCTAGACAAAGATTGTAATAAATTAGCCGCCTCTGGCCCCTGTGCCACAGCCTCTGGTACGTTTTTCTCACCATCTCATTGTCTTTCGTTTTCATGGGAAACGAGTGTGTTGACCCTGCACTTCTCTGTTAGACTCGGCTCGAGCAGTGTGTCCTGTTCCTCTCCACCCCTCTCTGACTCTCGTCCTTTCCACTTCTCCATTCCCCATTTCCTCTTTCCCTCAGCGCCGCCCCACCTCTGCGTAGAATGTGCTGCCCACACAGTTTGGCACACTCCTCAGATCAGGGCTGGGGCTTCCCGGGTGGAGGGAAAGGCCTGGCACGGCCCGAGGGACTCTCAGCTGGGTTTATCGCAGCCGTGTCTCTGAACAGGGCCGGGTGCCAGGGCGGGTTCCGTGGCCTTTCCCAAGCCTGGGAGCCCTCTCTCTGGTGGCAGAGCCTTGGCCACTGGACGGCTGAGCGGAAGAGCCCAGACCGTCGGCTCCCTTAGTTGGCCCTTCCGGGAGCCGCCTGGTCTCTGGTGCAGGAAGGGGAAGGGGCCAGAGCCGGGGGGCGTGGCAGGAAGGGGGGAACTCTGCGGTAAAGGAGCTGCTCGCCCAGCACAGCTGCGCGGTGCCCTCGGAGCTGCGATCCCCAGTTGCCGCCCCTCGGCCCCGTCCAAGATGATTCCAGCAGCTGTCCTGCTCCTGCTCCTTCTGGTTGAACAAGCAGGTGAGGGTTTGGGGAGGGACAGTGAGCTGGGCTCCCAGGTGGGAGTCAGGGCCTGTGAGGGCAGGCGAGGCAGGGCCGGGGGGATGCACACAGCTGGGCCCGGAGACCCTAAGGCTGGGCCTGTGTGGCCCCATCAGGGCACACACCAGGATACAGGAGTCACTCCTTCCTTGTCTCCCTCTTACTTTTTTAGGATCAATATGTGCCCAAGGCTGCAGCGGTCAGGGAGGGGAGTGTGTGTACAGAGCTGGTCTTGGAAAGGCTGCATTTCCTGGGGGGTGCCTTTGGTCTTGTCCATTGGGAGCTGACCTCTAGCTGTTTATTTATTTATTTTTTTTTATCCTCACCCGAGGACATTTTTCCATTCCTTGTTCAGGTAGAGTGGGAGGGAGAGAGAGGAACAGAGAGAGAGAGAGAAACATCGATGTGAAAGGGACACATCAGTGGTTGCCACCCGCACAACCGACCAGGGCCGGGGACAAACTGCAACCGAGGTACATGCCCTTAGCGGGAACCGAACCCGGGTCTCTCAGGACCGCAGGCCGACGCTCTAACCGCTGAGCCAAACCGGCCAGGGCTCTAGCTGTTTATAAAGTCCCTTCAGGGAGGCAGGGGCCTGTCCTCGAGCTTCGGTAGTCAAGGAGACAATTGCGGCTCCTGTGGGTCGTCACTGACATTCACCTTCCATCAGCTGCTGAATGGGAGGCTGAGCACTGCCCAGTTCTAGAGGCCTGAGCAGCCGCCGAGAAACTGAGGCAGGGTGGGAAGGTCACAGCATTCGTTAATGAGCTCCCGCCTCTTGCTCTCGGTGGTCTTGTGCAGATGTATACAAGGTGGGTGGTTGCAGCTGGGGTTCGGGGAGGATGGCGCCAGTGAAACCGAAGGGAAATTGGAAGATGGATGGGAGGTTGCACCCGCCAAGCTGTGCAGGTGGAAGGCTCAGAGAGCGGCTGGACCCGGAGGCCTGGAGGAAGAGCACACCCACACTTTGAAGGCAGAAACCCTGGACCTGCCTTGCAGCTGTCACTTAGCTCTGGCCCTGAATGAGTTACTCAGCTTCCCTGAGCCTTGGTTTCGTCATCCATAAGATGGCGACGTTTCCCGAACAGGGTAGTTTTGAGATTTATGCAATGTCAAGTCTCAGAATAAAAAGTCACAGGCTGGGGAGTCCACGTGACATGGACCAGGGCAGATGGGGCAATTAGGAGCTCAGACTCTATTTGATTACATTAATTGCACAAACTTCCTCTCTCGGTGACCCAGGGCGAGAGGGACAGAGCAGAGTCCCCGGGTCAGAGTCACACAGCCGTGGTCCTTCCCGGGAGCCATGTTCAGAGGCGTGGCTATCCATGGGGCCTGGGAAAGCGGACACCCTGTTTTTACATATCTCAGTGTCTGGTGGGGCCCAGTGCCACCCAACTGAGACCAGATGACCAGTAACAGAGTTTGCCTTCCCGCCCTTCCCCGAACATCCTTCCTGTCCAGCTCTCAGCCACAGGTCACAGGACTCAGCAGAGACACCACTCTTGTGGTTTCTTCACTGAAATTTGTCACTGCCTTCCCCTCACCCTACCCCCCGGGCTGAGGTTTTGGTCTCTGCCCAGTGATCACAGATGAGTCCCTTGAGGCCTGTGAAGTGCTCAGCGGAGCCTGAGGAACCCACAGCGCCAGGACGGGGGGGCTGAGGGAAGCCTTCCACGCGCAGTGCAGTGTGCCCCAACACTGCAGAGCCCTTGGCTCCCAGCCTGCCTCTAGCCCAGGCTGAGGCTGAAAGAAAAGGCCAGGCCAGAGAAGGGATCCAGACAGGAAGAGAACGTTGCTTCCCTGGAGAGCACGCTCCGAGTGCCCTCCCTGTCCTGACGCCCTGTCCCCGTGGGCACCCCTCTCCCCTCAGAGGCCCTGGGAGAGCCTCAGCTCTGCTACATCCTGGATGCCATCCTGTTCCTGTACGGGATAGTCCTGACCCTGCTCTACTGTCGACTGAAGGTGAGGCTGGGCAGGTGGGGGGCCGGAGGGCAGGGACCGTGGCGGCAGCGTGGATTTGAGCAGAAACCGAGTTTGGAGGGAAGGGGAATGGGCCACTAACATTGCTTTTACTAACGACCTTGCCTCTGCTCCAGATCCAGGTGCGAAAGGCAGCTGTAGCCTATCAGGTATGAGACTCCCCTCCCCATACCTGGGTATCCACAGTTTTGCAGACTCAGCCCTTCTGGGGCTATAGCCTTGGGGTCTTCAGCCCCCGGGAGTGCATGAGTTCTCAGTGCTGACCTGCACAGGCTTTAGAGACCCTCCCACAACCTCATCCTACCCACCCTACCACCCAGCCAAGTCACAGGTGACAAGTCACTACCCCTGGCTAATATGTCCCTGGGTGCAGAAGATGCTGGGGGCCCGGGTGGAGCTGTGGGTCTCTGACAACTCGCTCCTTTGCCTCCACAGAAGTCAGATGGCATTTACACGGTGAGTGAGCCTCCTGCCCCACCCCCAATCCCAGGAAGTCGGCAGAAGAGGGTGGATTTTGAATGACCTTTGGAAGGGAAGGGTCTGTGGGGGTGGGTGGAGCCCTGGGATGGACTCAAGCCCCTGACTGTCCTCTGACCTCTACCTCCAGGGCCTGAGCCCCCGGAGCCAGGAGACTTACGAGACCCTGAAGCATCAGAAACCAACAGAGTAACTGCAGGACAGATGCCCTTGGTCATGTCCTCCTGCTCCCGGGTCCCGGCCCAGTCCCATGTAATGAGACGATGCCCCCATGAATGGACCTGCTGCTTCCTCCTCCCCACGGCCTACGCGCAGATGCTACTTGTTAATGTTCGTATTCTAGTCCCCGCTGACCGCACCTTCTCACTCTTCCCCACTCCCAATGCCCACTGAAACGTGGGAAGGCAATAGCACCAATAAAACCACCAGACTGACTCCACTCCTTCCTCCCTTCCTTCATCATACACTTGGCCTCCAGGCTGCAAACAGAAGATGCCGTTGGAATAAGACAAGCTCCATTCCTGACCGGTCGGAGCTCACGGTGTTGACACCAGGCTGTTTTGCTCGATTAAGGGGTAAATTCTACCTGTGAGAGGGACAGATGAGACCCCTGACCCTCAGGGTCTCTAGCATGGAGCAGGAGCAGGGACTTCTGTGTTGTGACTCCAGGCACATTCAGAGATATGCGAACCTAAGGAATGACTTCGGGATTGTGGGAAAACCTGGCTGTTCAACCTCAAAGAGTGGCCAGTCCAATCACAGTGGCCACCAGGAGCCGTGGTGGGCAGCTCAGTGTGCGTGGGCATTAGCCTGGTTGAAAAGTCGAACCTGCAGGAGGGATGGTGTGACAAAGGCTTGTGTGATGCTCCAAGGGGAAGGCTGTGCAGAGACAGTGAGGTTTTAGTAGGTTCCGGGGGAAGAGGGACAGGTAGGGATTGGGTGTGGGCAAGACAGAGGGACAAATTGGGTCTAGATGGGAAGTGAAGGGATCCCTCTCATCACGCACCTGTTGCCTGTGGCCCAATGGGGATTAAACCTGCAGCATGGGTATGTGCCTTGACCAGGAATCGAACATGCTACCTTCTGGCGTTTGGACAACCCTCCAACCAACTGAGCCATACTGGCCAGGGCCGGAAGTCTTTGACTGCCATCTGATGTGGCCAATCCTGCCTCAGACCCAGCAGCCTTCTCAGATGGTTCTCTGTAGGTTCCCAGGTGCACCCTGGCCACCCCATGCTGGGCAGTACTTTGCTCTCGCAGTGACTCACGCTTGTCAATATTTATTTTAAATATTTTTTTCCTTTATTAGGTTTTGTTTTGTTGTTTTGTTTTTTGGTATGTGCCCCTAGCGGAACCAAACCCAGGACTTTCTGGTCTGCAGGCTGACGCTCCAACCGCTGAGCCAAACTGGCCAGGGCTCCTTCATTGATTTTTAGAGAGGGAGGAAGTGAGGGAGAGACAGATAGAAACATCGATGAGAGAATATTGACTGGCCGCCTCCTACATGCTCCCACTGGGGGATCAGACCCTCCATCTGGGCATGTGTCCTGACCGGGAATCGAACCGGCAACCTCTTGGTGCAGGGTCGACGCCCAACCACTGAGCCACATCAGCCAGGGTTTCCATTGATTTTTAGAGAACATGGAAATGAGGGAGGGAGACAGGGGTGGGGAGAGAAACATAGATATGAGAGAGACACATTGATTGGTTGCCTCCCTCATACGCCCTGACTAGGGCCAGGGATTGAACCTGCAACCCAGGTATGCACCCTTGACTGGGAACTGAATCCGTGAGCCTTCCGTGCACAAGCCGATGCTCTGACCACTGAACCACACCAGCCAGGGCAGGACTCAGCCTCTGAAGTTTAGCCTGTCCAAGATCATCGTCCTGCATGTGACACAGATCTGTCCCCATATGCTTTAGCACACGAGAAAACCACGGCGCCTGGGAAAGGGGGAGGAAGGTGGGCACCAGGGGTGAGGGCCAAAGGCCGGGCTGGAGGTGTGAAGGCCGATCCATATGCAGAAGCGATTGGAGCAATTTCAGATGATGTATGAGACGTGAGTCAGGGAAGGAAAAGCCATTTCAGAGGCAGAGTGGGAATAAGTTACTGGAAAATGCCTCAGTGTCCCTTGCTCTAATCTTGGGATCCTGAGCCTCACACAGGCTGTGGTGTCGGTCAGTTCTCGGACGGCCACCGGGCCAGCCAGAGGAGAGTGGGGGGATGTGTGGAAAAGTGTCTCCAGATAGGGGTCCAGGTGAGAGCAGTTTGAGAGAGTGAGCCCCACCTTTTCTTGTGGGCCAGGGGTGGGGGCAAGCAGTGTTCTCTGGCTTTGAAGGGAAGGGAGGACCTTGGGCAGCACCTCTGGGCTCACTTTGTGGAAGCTTTTCCCTCTGCGGGACGATCACGAGGAGGTTCCGCATGAGCCTCCTGTGACCTGCATGAGCCCGGCTCCAGTTTGTGCCTCTCATGCCTCGCACGCTCCATGCAAAGGCTGTCCAGTCTCCACTCAGCGCCTCCCAGGCCTGAGAAGACTCCTCCGCACCCTACCTTTCAGACATTTGTCCCTGGACCCTTTCTCCACCCTTCACACCCAAGCCTCCTCCTACTGGACTTCTCTCTGTCTTTCCCCTCCTGTCCTCAAAAAAGCCAGGCTCACCACAGACTTCTTGACCATTCATTGTAGAAACAAGGAGTGGGGAGGGAGAGGGGCTGGAGGCCTGGCCGGAGGGTGTTCTAGGGGCCAGCCGGAGTTGGTTGGGCGTCTGACTGTGACGGCAATTCCATGAAGTAACTGAACAAGCTCATCAGATCAGTACCAGCCTTCTTCATCAGGGGTGTCAGCCGCTCCTGTGTCTTCTCCAAGTAAGCCCTAGATTTGTGAGGGTTAGAGGTCACTGTGAGGGGCCCGGGGTACTGGCAGGGGCCTTGGCGGTGGTAGGAGGTAAGACCCAAGTCCCCAAACTCAAGTGCCTGGTCCATGCTGGCATGGACCAGCTCATAGGAGAAGAGACAAGCTCCCCGCTGGGCAGAGGAACACACCCTGGAGACAGAATTCCACAGCCCAGCTACTGTGGGCCATCTGTCCACAGGCCAGTGGGTCTGAGGCGGGGGTGGGGGGTGGGCAATTGTTCTTTCCAACCTCATCCTTCCCAACCCCCAAACCCAAGCTCAGTCTTCTGTGGCCCTGAACCCTGCCTTGCTGAGACTTACCTGGCCTGGGTCTGGACCTCTGTGCCCTTGACCTTCTCCACCAGCTCCTTGCCAGTGTCGATCACTGTCTGCAGGTACTCAGAGAACATGCCCTGCAGATGATTCTCCTCTGCCTGTCTCCGGACCAGGGCCCCTGTGCACACACAGAAACACACACACCTCTTCTCAGCCGGTCCCCAACAATAAGTCCTGCCCTCCAGTTACACCACTGCCAGTACCCAGCCCCAAACAGTCGCCCACTCCAGGTCTTTGGATGGACTTTCCAGGGTTTAGAGAGGGAACAGTCCCCTTTTTGAGCCCTGTGGTTGGCAGATCTGGGCACAGGAGAACTGACAGACCGGCAGCCAAGACCCCAGCACCTCTCCTTCTCAGGGCCCCTCTCCATACCACACCCACCTTCAAGGCTACAGATGGTGAGAACCAGCACTGTCACTACAAGCAGCTTCATGGTGGTGATGGTGGGGAGGTGGCCTGGGAACAGAGGAGGATGCTGAAACTGAACAGGCTTCAGCCCCTCCCCAGGGACCCCTACCTAGGTGCCCACTCCAACCTGGTCCCTTCCCTCCCCACAATTAAAACCTGGTCCTCTTCAGAGCCTTCCCACAACTGCTGCTTCCTATCCAGTCAGCGCCTCTGTCCTTGCCGTCTATAGCTGGCCTGGCTGGGGAGGCAGGGGCTATATGTCGGCTTGCTTCCCCACCCCCTGTCAGGTGACAAGGACTGTAGAGGGACATTGGGGCAGGGACCATGTTGGAGTAAACAAGTTGGAGAAATGGGGGAGGGGGGAGTTTGAGTGCACAGGGGTGCACGGTGAGAGGGAGGCAGGCGTGCAACCTTAGTGGAGGCCAAGGGGGTATCCTTTAGGCCTACTTTTGGGGCCTGGGGCAGTAGTCCCACTATCTCTGCAGGAAGCTGGAGTGCTAGTTTTTCTCTGGAAAGCTCTGACATACCGATCCTCAGCCCTCATTAACTCTGTTCCATTATGGGTACATTTCACCTTCCCAACCCTACCCCCTTTCACTGAAACTTGGCAGAGAGGTTTTGGGGAACAGGAGAAAGGAACTGAAATTAGGGGCAGGGGTGAGGGTCAGAGATCGACTCTGTCCCTTACTTGAGTTAATGTGTAATGAGACGGTTTAAAACATGAGAGCCCAGAATGACCTCCTGTGTGTTGACCAATGATCACACCCTACCCCCAAACAAAGTCAGAAAGCAGCCTCTCCCCTCCACCTCATTGGGAGGCTCTGGTAGGAAAAGAGGTTAAGATTAAAGGATAAAGGTTGAAGGTCTCTGGTCATTGATCACCTTATCAGTTCTAGGTGGTGCTAGCCAATATGACTCAGCAGGGGCCAGTGTCCCTCTGTCCTGACTGCAAGTGAGGGAGGTACATTCCCCAGGTCCTAGGCATTTGGGTGAAGTCAGCTGAATAGATGTCAGAAGCATTTGCATCTTTTACCCCCCCTTTTTTTTTTATTATTAAAACATTTTTTCTTTATCTATTTTTAGAGAGAGGAAGCGAGAGGGAAAGGGAGATAGAAACATCCATGACAGAGTACATCGATTGGCCGCCTCCTGTATGCCCCCTCTGGGGTTCAGCCCACCATCTGGGGGACCTCTTGGTGCAGGGCTTGACGCTCAACCACTGAGCCACACGGCCAGGCTCTTTCACCCTTTAGCCTTCAAAGTGTAGGCAGGACATTCATGCTGGAGAGATGCGGGTGGAGATGTGGACCAGTGGGGGAGGTGAGGGAGCCCACTCTGGCTTCCCTTACTTCCCCGCGGAGCCCAGAGCCCTAGAAGGCCCTCCACTGACTCCGGCCTGGGCCTGGAGAGGAGCGCACTTGGGGGCGGGGGTCCATAGTCCTGGGTTTTATTTACCAGCTCTGCCTAGGGAATCAGGGAAGAACGGATGAACCGCAGGGGCAGCGGTTCCGGCGGTCAGTTCTGCTGGAACCGAGGCTGCAGCCCCTGCTCCTCCAGCCCAGGCCCTCACGCTCGGTCCCATCGCGAGGACCAGGAGTGCTCGGAGGTGCGGGCTTCCGGGAGGCGGTGAGGCCCGTGTCCCAGGGCAGCTGTGCAGGCGAGCAGCTTGCATTTGCCGAGCACCCCGGAGCGCTGGGAGGAGGGGCCCAGGGGCGATTGAACCCCGGTTCGGAAGAAGTCTTCTCCGTCGTTCCCTCCGCCACTCTTCTCAAAAGGCAAGTCTCCAAGATGTACGGTGGAGGCAGCCCCAGCGGCTCAAGCTCCAAGATGCCCCCTCCAGAGTCCTGCAAGCGCCCTTGGAGAAGCCGGCGACCAAGGCCGTGGTCCACCGAGTCAGTCCCGGGAGCGGCCCTCGAGCCCCGCCCGTCTCTGTAGCGCAAGGGCTGGAGCTCTCTGGACGCAGGGCCTGTCACTCCTCTGCTTTCTCCTCTCCCATTGGCCCTTGGGAGACCGGGGCCGCTTGTTTTAATAGACTGGGCGGGGCCCAATCCAGGGAGGGTCGGGTCTTGCAAAGCTTTTGTTGCCCGGTTCCAAGATGGCGCGCATGACCACGCTGAGAAGGCGGCGTGAAGCCGCGATTCTGCCATCACTCAAGATGGCTGCCCCCATCAAGATGACCGGGGTGTGCCGGAGGGAAAGGGGCAGCAGGATGGCCTGAGGCGGTAAGGGCGGCCGCTGCGTTGCAAGCCTCGCCTTGGGGCTGAGGGAGGAAAGGTAGAAAGGTAGGACGCTGGGTGAGGTCTGTGGTGGGGCTAGAGTTAGACAGTGGGGGAAGGGACGGGGTGACAGGTGGGGGTGAGGGATCAAAGATGGGACGGGTCTGTGCCTGGGATTCCATCTCCCCCGGTGCCCTCTCCCCTTACTCTTCTCGTTCTAGGTCTCGCGTCGGACCATGTGGAAGTTTCGGGGACTTGGGAGCCGGATGATGGGGGGTGGGGCCCGTGGGGGGTAGAGGGAGAAATAGCATCCTTTCCCAGGCCCACCCCGGCCCCGCCCCGTCCTCTGGACTGAAATGGGGAACACGTTGGGCCTGGCACCGATGGGGGCTTTCCCCCGCCGGAGCCCCCGTCGAGAGGAGCCCCTGCCCAACCCCGGGAGCTTTGATGAACTGCACCGCCTGTGCAAAGGTGAGAACGTGGCAGGTGGGTGCCCCAAGCTGAAGGGTAGAGGAGGGGAGGGTCTTGCATGCTGGGCGTGCAGAGATGGGAGCAGGAAAGGGGAGATCACAGCTGGTTCCCCAGTGGCGTGGAGCATTTTGTTCCAGGATCTGAAAGGAGGTCGCCAAAGCGCTTTCTGTGGCATGGACCGGGGCTCCTTCTTGGGGTGGGGTTTCTTGTCTGTGCTTATTCCTTCCCTTTCCCTCCCCTCTTCTCCTTCAGATGTATTCCCAGGACAGATGGAGGGAGTGAAGCTCATTGTCAACAAGGTTCTGAGCAGCCATTTCCAGGTGCTTCCAATTCTCCGGTCCTGTCCCAACCTCTTCTCCTGTCCTTTGAACCCCTGCCTCGGCCAGGCCCTGTGGGGTAGAGGAGGGAGGAGGTGGGGCTCCTGGAGGGAGGAGGTGGGGCTCCTTAACTCCCTTGCTCCTGGGACTTGTTGCCTTCAATCAGGTGACCCTCTGTATATGTTGGGATATATTTTATTTTATTTTTTATCCTCACCCGAGGACATTTTTCCATTACTTGGTTCAGATAGAGTGGGAGGGAGGAGAAGAGAGAGAGAGAGAGAGAGAGAGAGAGAAACATCGATGTGAAAGGAACACATCGAGTGGTTGCCACCCACACGACCCAACCAGGGCCGGGGACAAACTGCAACTGAGGTACATGCCCTTAGCAGGAACCGAACCCGGGTCTCTCTGGACCGCAGGTCGACGCTCTGACCGCTGAGCCAAACTGGCCAGGGCATATTTGGGATTCTTAACAGGCCTGGATGAGGAGAGGAGAAAGAGGGGATGGGGGATTGATGCAGCAGGAATGCTCTCCTCCACTGGCTTCTGTTTTCTCAGGTGGCTCACACTGTGCACATGAGTGCCCTGGGCCTGCCCGGCTACCACCTCCATGCGGCCTATGCAGGGGACTGGCAACTTAGCCCCACCGAGGTGAGGGCTGCACACCTGGGTCCTCTCCCTAAAAGCCTGCCTATAGGAGGAGGAGATGTGCGTGTTGTGGGGAAGAATGGGCAGGGCACCTGCTTGCTTCTCTGGGTTTCTTCTGAATGGGAGAGGGTAGGGACACTTGCTCCGCGATTGAGGAGGAGTTTTTCTTTATGGCTCCACTAGGGGGCGGTGGGCGCTGTTAAAGAAAGCCAATAGTATTTGGATTTCCGCATCCAGAGTGGAAGCCTAGCCCAGCTTAGTCTGACTGCCTAGCTCTTCAACAGGTTTTCCCCACCGTGGTAGGGGACTTGGACAGCAGTGGCAGCCTCAACGCCCAGGTCCTGCTCCTCTTGGCAGAACGGCTCCGAGCCAAGGCTGTCTTCCAGGTGACCTATGTTCCTGCCTCCATCCACGGGTTTCCTTCCTCCTGAATATCCCGTCTGGGGGCTCCAGGGTGGGAAGCGGAGACAGCAGTGATGGCCGAGAGGGAAGGGAGATACTACCTCTCACTCTTGCTGCCCAGACCCAGCAGTCCAAGTTCCTGACATGGCAGTTTGATGGCGAGTACCGGGGAGATGACTACACGGCCACTCTGACCCTCGGAAATCCCGACTTGATTGGGGAATCGGGTGAGAAATCGGGACAGGTTCTTTTATCTTGGTTACCCACTTGCTGCTGTTGGCTGTGCCTCTCCATCCTCTGTACGGTTCAGGGTTAGAAAAGAGACGTCCTGGGCAGGCTGGGTGGGCCTTCGGGGGGAGGTGTTGCTTTAGCCTGACTCTGTGTCTCCCGCTCCAGTGATCGTGGTTGCTCACTTCCTGCAGAGCCTCACGCATCGGCTGGTGTTGGGAGGAGAGTTAGTGTACCACCGGCGGCCAGGCGAGGAGGGGGCCATCCTGACGCTGGCTGGGAAGTACTCGGGTATGGGTGAGAAGAACGGGGGGCGGAGGGGATTCCGGACTTGGCTGGGTTCCCCGGCCTGTGTCCTAGGTAACGCTCTCCTCCTCCTTGGTTTGCACAGCTGTACACTGGGTAGCTACGCTGAATGTGGGATCAGGTGGGGCCCATGCAAGTTATTACCACAAGGCCAATGAACAGGTGAGAGGGCTGATCCCGTCCCCCACCCAGCATGTCAGTCGTGAACTTCCCCCCCACCCCCGCTGTGCTCCCTGCCCCTGCTCCACCTGCTGACTCTGTCAGGACCCCTGCAGTCTTCACAGAGACAGACCCGCTCCCTTCCCTGCCCATGGTCCTCAGGTCCAGGTTGGAGTGGAGTTTGAGGCAAACACCAGGCTACAGGACACGACCTTCTCCTTTGGTTACCACCTGACTCTGCCCCAGGCCAACATGGTGTTTAGAGGTGAGGGGGACAGAGACATTTGGAGGTGTGAGGGATGGGGGCGGGCAGAGGGTGACTCGCCACCTTACTTCTGCTGACCCCTTTCTCCAAGCACAGCTAAACGTCCTGGTTGATGTTCTCCTCCCTGCAGGCCTGGTGGACAGTAACTGGTGTGTGGGTGCTGTGCTGGAGAAGAAGATGCCGCCCCTGCCCGTCACCCTTGCCCTCGGAGCCTTCCTCAATCACTGGCGCAACAGATCGCACTGTGGCTTCAGCATCACTGTGGGCTGAGGTCGTCCTGGGTCCCCCACAGCAGCTGCAACCTCCGAGTCAGGTTCCCCAGGGCCAGGGTCTGGGCCCCTCTCCAGGGTCTGGTGACCCCTGGGTCCCAGGAGCAGAGTGGGGGACAGAACTGTGCCCTCGGAACTGGAGCTGCACAGGGCGTTGATAGGCAGTGGTTTGAGGACCCACCTCTGCCACCAGCGCATGCCACCTGTCCATGCTGTGGCTCTGGACTGAGGGAGAAGAGCCAGGGGTCGGTCTGGCTGAGTTGTCTCCCTCACACTCCCCTCTGCTTTCCTGTGGATCAAAGCTCCTCGCTCCTCTTCCGAGCAGGAGAGTGTCCTGGGCTCGTGCCCGTCCTGTTTTCCGTTCCAGAGCCTTCCATGGCTAGGAGAGAATCTCAGCCTCAAAAAGTGGGGCTCCCCATCCCCGAGGAGCTTCGTCCTGCCCCGTTCTCCCTGCTTCCAGAGAACAACTGTCCCCCATGACTGCATGAAGAGGCAGTTAGTGCTCTAGGCTTTCATTCGAACCCTGGGCTCTTTCCTCTGGCCCCCGCCTCTGGCCACAGGGCTTGCCCTGCCCAGTGCCGTGCCAGGTGGGCTGGGGCGCGGGGCCACGCTGCAGAGTCCCTGGAGCAGAGGCGTCATGGCAGACAGCCCCCGACGTGCTCACGCACCGGAGCTCAGCCGCGGGCCCGGCAGCTTCGCCTACAGAAACCTTTGAGGAGGAGGTAGTGGGGTCTCCAGGGAAAGGAGGGAAACACATCAGGGCCCCTGAACTGTCCCTCGGTGAAGCTAGGTCTGAACACCAGAGAAAACCATGTTCTGGGATGACAGACTCATCAGAGGTGACAAAGGTCCCCAAGGGGCCTCTGTTTGGCGCTGTCTTCTCTCACCATGCCGTTTTCCTTGAACCAGAGCTCTGAGGCCCCCGAGTGAAGGAGCCCCAGACTTGGTGAGAACTTCAACAGTGTGGAATCTGAGGGTCTGGACTTCTAGGGCGGGTTCCAGAAGGTGGGTGTGTTCTGTGGTCTAAAGCATCCTGGCCGGACCGCCCACGAGCGAGGAGCAGGAACGGGGAACACACCTCAGAGCCCGCGGGGTGGACTGTGGAGCAGGGGCTTTGGCCAGGAAGCCGTGAATGGGCATAGCTAAGGCGAATGGGAACGAAGGGTTGGCCCAGGCAGAGGGAACGGCACCCGAGAGGCTGTGTCTGTCTGGAGCAGTGGGGTGGTGAGGTGTGGATGTCGCCTGTCTCAGGAATGCCGTGACACAGAGCCCATGAGCAACTACTTTGCATCCGTACTGAATAAAAAACCTGGAAAAAGTGAGATGAAATGGCGGTAGGAGCCGTTTGGGCCCTGGAACTTATGAGGGGAGGGGGGAGTTGACCCCCCAGGGGATCTGGGTCCCTAGAGGAGAGGACAGTAAAAGCATTCATTCCCAGGTCAGGTCCCCTTCACCCCTTCCTGCCCTGGGGCAGCCTCCTAGCCCCCCTGCCGGTCCCGGGACCCTGGTCGGTCGCTGGTGTTTGAGGTAGCTCTGCAGAGCCAGCGCCATCTGCAGCTGGTCAACCTCTGCCCTCTGGGCGACCCGGCCGGTCTGGGGGCAGGACAGGTGGGGGTGGGCGGGTCTCCGCCTTGCCCCAGGAGTGGGGCCCAGGCCCGGAGCCCGTTCTTCAGGTGGGAGGACTGGGGGTGGGTGAGGCCAGGCAGAGGTGCGGGGAGAAAGCTGCTGGGTGCCGCAGGGTGCTCACCAGGAGAGACGAGGCCATGGCAGCCATGAGGACGTACTCGGGCTCCCGGAGCTGCAGGCGCCTCAGTGTCCCATGGAAGCAAAGAGCAGCTCTAGAAACTCTTTCTGGAACCCACTGTGGGAGGGACTAGGCTTAGGAGCGTCAGGTCCCCAGCCAGGGGCCGAGCAGGAGGACACCTGCCTTCTGCTGTTCCGGTGCCGTCTCACCGGGGGCACTGTCTCACCAGGGGTATCTCACGGGGGCACCGTCTCACCAGGGACACCTCACGGGGGCACCGTCTCACCGGGGGCACCTCACGGGGGGCACCGTCTCACCAGGGACACCTCACGGGGGCACCGTCTCACCGGGGGCACCGTCTCACGGGGGCACCGTCTCACCGGGGGCACCGTCTCACGGGGGCACTGTCTCACCAGGGGTATCTCACGGGGGGCACCGTCTCACCAGGGACACCTCACGGGGGCACCGTCTCACCGGGGGCACCTCACGGGGGCACCGTCTCACCGGGGGCACTGTCTCACGGGGGGCACTGTCTCACCAGGGGCACCTCACGGGGGCACTGTCTCACCGGGGGCACCGTCTCACGGGGGCACTGTCTCACCAGGGGTATCTCACGGGGGGCACCGTCTCACCAGGGACACCTCACGGGGGCACCGTCTCACCGGGGGCACCTCACGGGGGGCACTGTCTCACCAGGGACACCTCACGGGGGCACCGTCTCACCGGGGGCACCTCACGGGGGGCACTGTCTCACCAGGGACACCTCACGGGGGCACCGTCTCGCCGGGGGCACCTCACGGGGGCACCGTCTCACCGGGGGCACTGTCTCACGGGGGGCACCGTCTCACCAGGGACACCTCACGGGGGCACCGTCTCACCGGGGGCACCTCACGGGGGCACCGTCTCACCGGGGGCACTGTCTCACCAGGGACACCTCACGGGGGGCACTGTCTCACCGGGGGCACCTCACGGGGGCACCGTCTCACCGGGGGCACTGTCTCACGGGGGGCACCGTCTCACCAGGGGCACCTCACGGGGGCACCGTCTCACCGGGGGCACCTCACGGGGGCACCGTCTCACCGGGGGCACTGTCTCACGGGGGGCACTGTCTCACCAGGGGCACCTCACGGGGGCACCGTCTCACCGGGGGCACCTCACGGGGGCACCGTCTCACCGGGGGCACTGTCTCACGGGGGGCACTGTCTCACCAGGGGCACCTCACGGGGGCACCGTCTCACCGGGGGCACCTCACGGGGGCACCGTCTCACCGGGGGCACCTCACGGGGGGCACCGTCTCACCAGGGACACCTCACGGGGGCACCGTCTCACCGGGGGCACTGTCTCACGGGGGGCACCGTCTCACCAGGGGCACCTCACGGGGGCACCGTCTCACCGGGGGCACCTCACGGGGGGCACCGTCTCACCAGGGACACCTCACGGGGGCACCGTCTCACCGGGGGCACCTCACGGGGGCACTGTCTCACCAGGGGCACCTCACGGGGGCACCGTCTCACTGGGGGCACTGTCTCACCAGGGGCACCTCATGGGGGCACCGTCTCACCGGGGGCACCTCACGGGGGGCACTGTCTTTGTGGTGCAGTGCAGAGGCCCACAGAGGAGGCGCTGTGTTTGGAGGCACCGAGCGCAATCCCCTGAGAAGGGAGACCTGGTCCTCCGTGGGTAGGGCCCCGTGGGAGCAGGACCCCAGGCCCGAGCTTCAGAAGAGGGACTCCCACTTCAGAAAGGCGGGGTGGGGCTCAGCCGAGTCAGCCGCTTTCTGTTCTGTTTCTTTTGGTGCTGGCGAGGGGTGAACTTTCCTGCGGTGTTTTCCTCCTGCGAGGCCAGGGAGCTCACGCCGAAGAAGGGCAGGCCCTTGGTGAACGTGACGACTCGCTGCACCGTGAACGTGTTGATGTCTGCGAAGTAGCAGGGGCAGCACGGGCACCGGGGCCAGCAGTCTGGTGGCGGGCGAACAGATGAGCTGTGGCTGCAGAGGTCAGAGCCCAAGTGCGGCCCGGGTGCCAGGCTCTCCCTTCGGCTCTCCCGCCTCGGAGGGGTTCAAGGCTGCGGAGCCTGGCTCCGCTAGGGATCTGGGGAGGTCCTGTTCTCTGACCTGGTGCGTGACACAGCCCCTCCTCATGCCGTCCTCCTTGGTCACCCTTTTGGTCACATTCCAGCCCAAGTCCTGCGAGTGCCCACCCTGCACTGCACAGACTGGTCAAATACGGGGCCATGTGGCCGGAGTGGGCCGCCAGGAGCGTCTGCACAAGCTCTTCCTGCTCCTCACTCAGCAGCTGGTGCTCGCTGCGCCCCAGCGGGGCCTGCTTTGCTCACCGCAGCGCCAGGGCTTCTGCAGGCAGGACCACTGTGCCTAGATAAGAGATGCACAAGGCTCCTGACATCAGCCCCCCTGGGGCCCCAGCCAGCCTGCATGACAAAGGAGGCAGGAGGGGTCTGAGGCTTCCTTGGGCTCGGCTGGTGTCCCAGCGGCCCAGGCCTGTGGGACACTGTGGCAGGAGCAAGCCACTGTGGTGGGGACGGTGTTAGGAGGTTTGGCTTTTGAGAGGACACTGAAGAGGAAGGGCTCTTGGTGCCTAAGACATCACCTTAGATTTGTACAGCTGCATGTCCAAGGCTGAGGTCAAATCTGATGGGATAAAACAGTCCTATGGGTAGACAGGACTTGTTATCCATAGTGGTATTTTTGTTGTTAATCCTCATCTGAGGATATATTTTCCACTGGTCTTTTGTTGTTGTTGTTGTTGTTGTTAATTCTCACCCAAGAATATTTTTTCATTAATTTTGATAGAGTGGAAGGAAAGGAGGGAGAGAGAAAGAAACATTGATGTGAGAGAGAGACATTGATTGGTGGCTTCCTGCATGACCCCGACTGGGGCCAGGGATCAAACCTCCAACCCAGTTACAAGCCCTTGACCAGAAATCGAACCCAAGATCTTTTGGTGTGAGGGTCGATGCTCTAACCGCTGAGCCACAGTGGCCAGGGTGCCATAGGGGTTTTTATCCATATTTTTCAGAAACAGAACCAGGCAGTTTCAATGACAGGTCCAAGGTCACAAAATACCTAAGTGGTGTAGATTAACTTCGAATCAAGACTGCTTGCCTTCTGCGGTTTCCACTGCTCACATGGAAAAGTAGGATGATGTCATGGACACCGCGGGGTGTGGGCGTCGGACCGGCGAGTCTGAAAACTGCGTCTGCGGCTTTTAAACTGAGTGCACCTGGGCACCGACTTGCACGCACCCAGTTAATCACCGGTGGGGAGCGTGGCCTCATGACCTGGCACACAGAAAGTACATCATGTGATTCACTCAACCACCGCTAAGTGCCTACCAAGTGCCAGGCCTGAGCCCGAGAGAGAAGAGAAAAGCAAGCCAAGGTCATTCATCAAGGACATTCGGGGCAGGGAGTGGCCAGGACAGGGCCGAGGTTCTGGGGAGGGTGCAGGTATGTCTGAGGCTGACACCAGAGCCAGTGTGGGGAGGACGCATCGAGCGCGGGGCAGACTCCGAGAGGTGGCACAGGTGGAGGACCGCGAGGTCACGGACCGAAGAGAGGAGCAGGAGAGTGACATCATCTGACTTGTTTCAAAGACTCTGCCCACTGTGTGGGGACAGGGAAAAGCGGAGACATGGGCTGTGGCCTCCTGGGATGGGGGGACTCTCTGTCCTTCCTCATGCCAGCACCCAGGCACCTGACCAACCTGGTCAGGTGAGACCAGGTGAGACCAGGGCCTTTGCTCACTGTCCATCTGTGAGAGACCGGCTGTGGGGGTGGGGAGGGCAGTGGGCAGGTGGGTGTGTGAGCTCAGCGCTGCCCTGGGCTAGAAGAATCGAGGTGACAGGTGCTCTGAGCTGTGCCTGCGGGTGGGTCCGGGTGGCTCGGCCACAGCCCACCTCTAGCCTCTGTAGGAGGCACAGGGCCCCCAGGAAAGTGGTGTTTGCAGGCAGTGAGCACAGGGAGTGCTCTCGACTACGGGCTGTGTCCACGGGACAGCCTTCCTCCGTGACTAGGCCACCCGTAGCATGCGGGTTGGCTCCCCACGGGGTGTTAGCTCCAGGGCGCAGGGTGGTGCAGTTGCACAAGCTGGGCACAGGGCAGGACTGAGGGGCAGTTTGGGGGTTGTTTCTGTTGGGAGGAGGCTCTCACCTGAAGAAACCCTTGCAGCCCTCACAGGTCAGGGCGTGAAAGTGATAGCCTGTGGCCCGGTCACCGCACACCACACAGTTCCTCAGCTCGTCCCCACTGGCCGTAGCGTCTGTGGCGGGGTGGCTGTCGCAGCCTCTGGGTGTGGGAGGGGCAGCAGTCAGCTCTGGGCCACCCTTGACCCTCTTCCCCCTTCTACCGAGCATCTTCCCGGACATGCCCTGGGCCCGACCCCCTGCATTACCTTCATTGCATTGTTTTTGGTTTCTGGCCCCCAGATTCCCACCTGCTCCTCTTAGGCGCATGTCACCTGCAGGCCACAGGATTGGGTGTGGGACGAGTCTCCCCAAAGTCCTGCTCTGCCCCTGCTTTTCCCTTGATCTCAGGAGCTGCCCGTGTTTAGAGGTAGGGGTCATGGCCCTCGGAACCTGGAAAACAAGGACCTTCTATTATTCTCAGAGAACACGTTGGTAGGGCAGAGACTCTGGACCCTGGGCAAAGGCCTGGGGAGGTTTTCCCAGCATGCCATGGTGCTGGTTGCTGGCACATGGGGAGGGACCCTGGTGGGTGGGGACCTCATGAGTCATTGGAAGCTGCTCCTAAACAGACCTCGGAGATTTTCCCTGCTGCTGCGCGTTGGGCTAGGTCAGCAGCTCTGTCTGTGGGTCCTGGGTGCTGGGCAGACGGCAGAGTGTCAGCAGCAAAGGGACAGGGGTGCTCCGCACACGGCTCCCATGGGAGCTCGGAGGGACTGCGGTCTAGTCAGGAGCCTGCACAGGAGGAGAGAGGTCCCACGTCCTACATGGGGAGGCCAAGGACTCCCGTGGCTGCTGATAAACTGGAGGTAGGGGAATTGATTTGGGGCGCTGGGGCCAGAGCCAGCGTCATGGGTGAGCGCCCTGCGCAGCCACACCCCTGTGCTGAGAGGGCCCCTGGGCTCGGCTCATCACTCTGATGTCGCTGCCTTGAGAGTCTTGGTGATTTTTGAAGAAGGGGCTCTGCATTTTCGTTGTTCACAGGGCCCCGCAAATTCCGTGCCTGGTCCTGTCTAATTAATAAGCTTAAGACTCAGAAGCAGGAGTCTTCACTGTGTTGTCTCATTTGTCATTGCCCCCGAAGAATATTTCTGCAAGCGCAAGAAGTATATACTCTCCGAACATCTATGAACAGAAATAAGAGTTTCAGAAGCTATTTGGGTGTTTTGGGATGGGCACTACATTGGATGAATCTGACCCCACACCCCCTGGACACAGCCCAAGCCTCAGTCTTTCCGTGCGCACGGTCTGTCCTTGGGTGTTTGCCGCTTCTGCACGACACAGCTCTCTCCCACCAGCAGTAACCGTCATGCCTTCTGCGTCTTCAGTTAAGAGTTAAATTGTAAGTAATGTTCCTCCACAGATGAGTTAGAAACCAAGGTGCAGGCTACAGTCATGAAAACACACAGAGAGAGAAGAGACAAGGCTGGGCCCCGAGAATGAGGAGGCGGAACCCTTTCTCACGAGTACGACGCCCAGGGGTCCACATCCACAACGTACCGCCTTTGAAATAGGCTGAGTTCCGACGCACAGGTGCTCAGATCTGCTGCTGGGTGGTGGGGAACGGATTGATGTGTACGCCTTTGTTGTAGCTTTGCTTAAGTGTGACTACTTTCGAAGTCATACTACTTCACCCAGTCAACAAACAGTGACTCAGAACCTGCTATGTGTGAGACTCGAGGGATAACAAGGTGAATAAGACGTTCTCTGACCTCACGGAGTTTAAACATGCTGGTGGGGGAGACAGACCTTTAAGTAGATATAAAGAAATGTCATCAGGCCCTGGCGGTTTGGCTCAGCAGGTGGAGTGTCAGCGAGGACCAAAGGGTTTTGGGTTCAATTCCAGTCAAGGGCACATGCCTAAGTTGCAGGTTGGATCCCTGGCCCTGGTTGGGGTCGTGTGGGAGGCCACCAGTTGATGTGTCGCTCACACATCAGTGTTTCTCTCCGCCCCCCCCCCCCGCCTCCGCTCCCTAAAAATCATTGGGGGAGGGATATAGCTGAGTCACCCACCATGTTGTTAACAGAAGAGTCCTTGCTCTGGCCAAGGGGTGCTGAGGAGGACACAGGAAGGGCTCCCCGGAGGAGTGACAACTGAGTTGATTTTTTTAAATCCTCACCCGAGGATATTTTTTTCACTGATTTTCAGAGAGAGTAGAAGGGAAGGGAGGGGGTGGGGTGGAGAGAGGGAGAGAGAAACCTTGATGTAAAAGAGACACATTGTTTGGTTGCCTCCTATATGTGCCCTGACCAGGGCCAGGGATTGGAACCTGCAACCCAGGTGTGTGCCCTTGACTAGGAATTGAACCCGAGACCCTTCGGCGCACGGGCTGACTCTCTAACCAGTGAGTCACACAGGCCAGGCCTCAGTTGATTTTTATAAGGAGAATGAGGATGTGGCCAGTTCAGGCAGAGGGTGCAACCTGAGAAGCTCAAGAAGCCGATGCAGAGATGGTAGAACCACAAACAGCCTCTCTTGCTGGGTGACGCTGCAGGCAGGCAGCAGCCGGAGGGAAGTCTGGAGAGAGGGGCTTGAGCTCCTGCCTCCTGACCCCTTCAGGCCCCTGTCACAGCTCACTTAGGACTGCAGCAGCCTAGACACCCATCTCCTTACAACCAGCCTCCTCTCCTCCAGCCCATCCTCCATGCTGATGCTATTTCTAAAATGCAAATTCAATCATGTCTCTTCCCTGCTTAAAATTCTTCATTAGCTTCCCATCACCTTCAGGATAAGATCCGATCTTTGGCATGTCACACAAAGTCCTTTGTGATCTGGGCTCTGTTTGTCACTCTGACCTCATCTGTTCCACTTCCCCGCCCTGACCTAATGTGTGGCGTGTTGGCTCCACATGCGCTTCGCCTTTCGAGTTCCCCCAAGGAGCTGTGCGCACTCACCTCCGGGCACCTGCCCAGTTATCCTGCCTGGTTGGAGTCGCCGCCACCTGGCCCGTCCCCTGGGCCTCCTGATCCTCTTGCCCTGAGCACAGAGGGTCCCCTCTGGGAGCCGGGGCCAGAGCTGCCCTTCTGCCACTGGCTTGTCACCACACTGCAGAGAATATCATCCACCAGGAGCTGTTCAAGTCTTTTATTTTGGATGCTTAGTGCCTTGCGTGCTCCTGGCACACACAATGAGTGTTTATGGAATTTATAAATTAAACAGGTTAGGATGTGAATTCAGGTCTGATTCCAAACTCATACTCTTTCCATGTGGCACTGTGTTATTATCTGTGACACATTCGTTCAGCAAATGTGTAACAGGGGTCTGCCTTGTGCCAGGCGTGTTCTAACGGTGTGGGTTCCGTGCTGCCATCGGCACACGTTCCTGTTCCCCTTCGGGGCTTTCTTTCCTAGGTGATTATGCTTTGTTGTCCCGACCCTCATGGCCACATGCTCACTGTCTTCTAGTCTGAATCCTGACACCTTTCTGAGCCATCGTTACCTGCTCTTTCTCCTGCCGTGTTTGTGTTGCCAGGTGGCGACTCACTCAGGTGTCTGGGCCTGCTCTGTCCTGTGTGCCCCCAGGGTCCGGCACAGCACTTGTAGTGTACCCCGTTACCCTACCCTACCTCCTTTCTTTGTTTGCACTTGTAATCTGGCTTCAATCTTTTTTTTTTAATTCTCACCCACTTTTTTTTTTTTATCCTCACCCGAGGACATGCATTTATTTTCAGATAGAGTGGGAGGAAGAGAGGGAGGAAGAGAGAGAGAAACATCGATGTGAGAGAGACACATCAATTGGTTGGCACCTGCACAACCCCAACTGGGGGTGGGAACTAACCGCAACTGAGGTACGTGCCCTTGGCCGGAATTGAACTCGGGACTCTTTGGTCCGCAGGCTGATGCTCTAACTACTACTGAGCCAAACCAGGCAGGGCCAATCTTCTTTCTCTGCATTCACCAGGGAGCTCCTGTGGCCAGTTGCATTCAGTGGCCTTTCTCTTATGTTTCTCCCAACCAGCCTCCCTACCACTTCAACTCCCGACAATCACGCTGTCTTCTTTGGAGCTCTTCCTCACTAGCCTCTCTGATGTTATGCATTCCTGGTTCTACACCTTTATTTCCAACAATTCTTCTCTCTCTCTTTATTTGGATTATCCTTTCCCCTAAACCCATAGGCTTTTCTGTAAGGCTCAATTTCAACCTCCCTTCCTTTCTTCTGTGTTCCTCCCTCACAGTTCATCTCATCACACGGCTCCGGTAAAATGTAAAAATAGCCAATATTTTAACATCACGATTTACAGCGTACCTCTACATTCCTCTTTCATCCTCCTCCTCAGTCTAGGACATGAATGTCCCCAAAACATACAACCCCAGCTCCAGGGGGTCTTGCTGTTCTTTAGTTTCTTCTTTCTGATGCCTGTTCAGGTTAAATCTCCTTCTATTCTGACTTCTCCCACAGCACCCATAACGCTCTGGCTTTTGCATCCGCACGATCACCGCTCACCTACTAGACTGTGAGCTCTATGTCACGTGAGCCTGCTTTCCTCCAAACCCAGCATGGGTCCCAGCCATGCTGTGCGCTTAATAGCTGGTGAATAATTGAACAGCTTTCCTCATTTTCTAGTCCTGAATTCCAAAAATCACTTTGAATCCTCTCCTAAATCTCGTTAGGCACCAAGTCTTTCTGGTTCCCTATGTTTCTTGATGTCCCTTCCCCTCTGCCACCGTCACTACGTTCACCCAGACCCTTGCACTTTGCACTGTGACAATATTCCTCTCTTGGTCCCTGCTCTGACTCCTTCTCTTGTCCAATCAGTCCTGTGTTTTCCCTGTAAGAATGACCTAGAAAAGCTATTTCTATGAGGGTCAGGTTTAAGTTCCCTACTCTGATACACCTCCTGCAGCTTCCCCATCATCAACCCATCTTCTTTCATCATTTTCTCTTCTCACCAGATGCCAGATAGACTCATCTTTTCCTTCTCCTTCCCGTCCACCATTTGCCTAAGTTTTACCCTTCTTTTAAGATCCAGCCCAGACCCCATTTCTCCCAGGAAGCTTTTGACTCTCTTGGTCCTAAACAACTATCTATTATTAGATAACTTCCTGTTGTAGTGTACGTGGGCATTGAACCACCTATGGCAGGGCTGGGCAGTTTATGGTCTGTGAGTCAAATCTCGTCTGTGGCCTGTTTTACACAGCTTTTGTGCTGACAATGTTTTTAAATTAAACATTTAAAAGAAGAAAAATAATGTTTTATAATACATAAAAATTATATGAAACTCACACTTTAGTGTCCACAAATAAAGTTTTATTTGAATATAGCCACACCTATGCGTTTACATATTGCCCATAATCACTTTCAAACCCCAAGGTTAGACTTAGAGTCTCAGCAGAGACCATGAGCCATTTACTCTCTGGCTGTTATTGAAAAAGCTTGGTGACCTCTGATCTTGGATTTTGAATTTCTATTCCAATCTTTGTATAGCCATGCAAGAACTTTGGAGAGGTCTGTTTCACTAGAGACAATCTTTTCCAAGCTACTTAGCCATTCATTAGAAAGGGGTGAGGGAGCCCTGGCCAGTTTGGCTCAGCGGTTGGAGCGTCGGCCTGTGGATCAGAGAGTCCAGGGTTTGGTTCCCGCAAGGGGCACATACTCCCCCCACAAAAAAAGAAAGGGGTGGGGGGAGCCAGAGGAGTAGGTTGCAGAGACTGCGTAGGAGACCCTCAACTTACAAATTTGGTAATTTAGGCAACCAGATTCCCACTGGAAAGTGAGAGTCAGCGGATGGCAGGTGGATGGGGGAAAGATGAGGTCTTCTTTCCATCTTCTCTGTTTCTGACCTGGCAGAGAAAATATGCAAGCACGGAAGATGAGCTAGAGAAAGCGTGTCTGAGGTCTCGTCTGAACTGCTGTTGAGAAGAGAGCAGTGGCGGCTGGGTATCCACAATTGTTATTCCAGGCCAGGAAAGACACTATCCAAAGGGTATCACGGCTAAAGCTGAAAGTGCTTGGTTTTGGCTGACTGAGTAAGTGGGCGGAAAGGTTTACAACACTTAGAAGTGTCACAGGCAAGAGAATGGGAAGGATTTCCTTAAAGTAGGAAGGAAAGCTAGACAGTCAAATAAACAGCAGTAACAGTTGGGATTATTAGAGATATCATGACATATACCTAGGTGTTCTATTTCTTTTCATCTTGCTCCAAGCATATATATTTCTTAAAAATTATACAACACATTATTTAGTAAAGCTCCATCTTATTGAAAAATAATCGACATAGATTGGACTGTGGGCTTTCTCTTTCGCAGCTGGTCCCTACACCTGGGCAGAGTCCACCTGGCTAGTTAAGGTCCTCAAACATGGACCACCAAATGGGTTGCTACCTGGATTGCTGAAAGAATCAAGCAAGACTCTAGGAGATAGAAAGTGCACATTGAAAACGATTGTTATGGCAACAATAAGTGCAAGGTCATAAATGTGTGTCCTTTTTTATAGTTTCACCACCATGCCTGGCTCTGCAGAGGGCACATGGTCAGACTGAAACTGAACAAAGAATCTTTTGGGAGGGCCTCATTACTCTAGGGGGATGCTAGAGGGTTTATTTATTTATTTATTTATTTTTCTTTATTGATTTCAGAGAGAGAGGAAGGGAGAGGGGGAGAGAGATAGAAACATCAATAAGAGGGAACATTGATTGGCCTGCATGCCTCCCCCTGGGGATTTGGCCCACAACCCGGGCCTGTGCCCTGACTGGAATCGAACCGCGACCTCTTGTGTCAATGCTCAGCCTCTGAGCCACACCTGCCAGGGCGCTAGAGGGCTTTTGTTTGCTTGTTTTGCATTACGTGGGGTTTAGGATGGATGTATCCTAAGTGTCTTTCAAGTCCTAGGATCTACGATCTCCCAAAGCAAACAGCACTGGACAATTTCTCTGATCTTTCCCCCAGAGTACTGTCCACTCGCACCTCCTCCCTCCCTCTGCCCGTCTCCTTCACTCCCCCGCTCGCCCTTCTCTCGTGCACACTGCTGTCCCGTCACTAAATCTGAACCTGCAACCCCTTCTTCATTCATTTTCCTGCTTCCCGTGCGCCCTTCGGTCTTCTCCCAGCCCTTCTTCCTTTGCTTTCTCAAACTCACAGGCTGCTCCTTCCCTGGGCTCGTGCTACCCCTGCCCCTGTCCCTCCTCCTCTGCTCCGGCTCCGGCCGGCTGCCGCGGTCGCCCCCTCCGTCCCGCGCTCGCACGGTCTGACCCTAGTTGGAAATGCTGCGGCTCCCCGAGCCCGCCTCCATTGGGTGCGAGCGGCTGTCGCTCTGCGGCCGGCGAGCTCCTATTCGTCGGGCTGGGGGCGGGCCGAGCGGACTATAAAAGGCGGGGCTCCAGGCGGCGCACCGAGCGGCTCGGACCGGACGGGCAGCGGAGGGGCCGGCGGACCAGACGCCCGGCGCAGAGCCAAGAGCCAGCGCACCGCGGAGGCCCCGCACCGGCCCTCCTCGCCTCCTGGAGGCCCGCCCCGACCCTCCTCGCCTCTTGGCCGCTGTGCCGGAGCCGCTGCAGCCCCAGGGCCGCGCCTCACTGCACCTGCCGCCCGCCCGCCCCGTCCAGCTGCTGCGATGAGCGAGGTGAGCAGCTGCGGCCTGGGGCTCCGGGTCCCGGGAGCGAGGAGGCGGCTGCGGCTCCAGATCCTCCCGCTCGGGCTCTGGGCTCCGGGAAGTGACTGGAAGGGAGGCTTTACGTCCCCGCTGCGGGTGGCGCGTTGGGGGCTGAGGTCCTTGCGACACCGCCCTCTGCATTTGTCTTGGGGCTCGGGGCTGCGGGCTTCCCCTGACTTCTGACGGGATCCCCCGCGCGTCCCCTTGTCCGGTCCTGGCTGCACTGCCCTCCTCTCCCGCACGCTGCAAGAACTCCCGCCGTCCTGCCTGCCGTGACCGCTTTCCCCCTTTTCGGAAGATGACACCCTACCCCTGTCATTGGGTCAGGAGGCCACTGTGCAGGGACCGGTCCTGACATTCAGAAGCTGCTGTACTGGGGCCCGGCGGCTCCTGGGGAGATGTCCCCTTAGGAGCAGACCTGCCTCTGCAGGGCTGATTACATCCGGAGCCTTCGGTCAGGCTCCGTGGGGTCCACCCAGCCAGACCCAGTCCACCAGCTGTGATGCCCCCTTTCCGCGGAACTCCGTTTGTAGGTGGGGGCAGACGGGACAGCCCCCTCCCGTGTTTCACAGTCTCACACCCAGAATCAAGGGTCTTCCTTCCCAGGGCAGGAGCATTAGCAGCTGGACGTCAGCAGACTTTCCTGGGACCTGGGGTGTAGTGTCAAATCCAGCTTCTCAGCTGTATGCCTGGTCCCCGCTCTGAACCCACATGCTTGAGAGCTGCGTGGTCTTAGGCGGGTCACTAACCTCTCTGTGCTTCAGGTTCTAGTCTGTAAAACGAGGGCTGTGCTGGTTGTCTCCATGATGAACTGAGATCATATCTGCAAAGTGCTTAGAACAGTACCTGGCACAGAGTAGGCCCTCAATCTACATGAGCTATTGTTATTTTCTCCTTTTTTTTTTTTAAATCTATTTTAGAGTGTGATAGAAAACTAGCACAAGAATTCTCAAGGACACTGGATGGTGGAAGCCCAGGTCTCCGCTCAGATCTTCATCTCTAGTCGGAGCTCTCCTGGCTCCTACCGAGAGCTGTTGTCCAGGTCGCCCGTGTCCCCTGGGCTTCTCCGGGAAATGCAGCTGGTCTGGGGCTGTAGCTGGACAGACTGAAGTGGTTTCCAGTCCCTCAGCTAGTTGTGACTGTGACCATGGCAGCCTTTAAAAAAAAAAAAAAGGTTCGATATTCTTTCCTCTTGCTTCTTTCATCCCTAACATGAGAAGAGAGGTTTTCTCTGCCCTCTTTTCACTGAGGTCTAGAGTTCAACGCCCCCACTAGTGTTTCTAAATCTGAAAGTTGCAATGCAAGCCATCCCCTGGGAGTTTGCGATCTGAAGGCCCTGCCAACATGGAGCTGTGTGGTTAGCCTGTGCTTTTTTGGGGAAGTGCACAGCCTCCCTGTAGGACACACTACAGGGGCTGACATTTATGGTGGTATTTGGTGGAGTGACAAAGCCGTTTCAGTGGCAAGGAGAACGATGTGGTGTTTGCAGGGAGTCAAGTCTCGACTCAGCAGCCGGACTTGGCTAGCCTCAGTTAGAAGCCCAGTGACCCCATGGGAGTGGGGCCCTCAGACGGGGACTGCTGTCAGCGTAGGCAGGGCTGCCCAGCCTCCCAGGCTGCCAGCGGCACTGGTTCTAACCAGTGATTCACCATTGACGCTGGTGCAGAAAAGCCAGAAGCAGCCACCTGGGTGGCCACAGAGACCAGCTGTCTCTGAACCAGATTCCCAAAGGGTTTCCGCTTCTTAGAGGCCAGGACCCAGCCTGTTTTCTTCCTCTTGTAAAGCATGATGAGAAGCGGAAGTGTTGCCCAGGGCTCTGGAGCTCCAGGGAGACACGTGGAGCCCCAGGGGTCTCCTTTCTCAGGCAGTGTCCAGCCCAGGAAAGCCCTGTGCACCCTGAATCTTATATAAGCTTCACCCCCCACACACACCTGCTTATTTTCTTGCTTCAGAGAAACTGCATGAAATGAGAGGATTTAGGATCTCTTTAAAGATTCCATTTTAACTGAAGAAGTAGTCTCTAGACTCAAAACAACTAAAGGTGTAGGGATTCTGTTGGGGTGCTGGGGAGGGTCTCAGCTCAGCTTTGCCCTGGTGGCTCTTCGCTGTCCCTCAGCACTGCAGTAGAGCATTTCTGTGTGTGAGTGTGTTTGTGTGTGAGTGTGTTTGTGTGTGAGCGTGTATGTGTGTGTGTTTGTGTGTGTGTTTGTGTGTGTATTTTGTGTGTCTGTGTGTTTTGTGTGTGTCTCTGTGTGTGTATTTATGTGTGTGTGTGTCTGTTTTTGTGTGTGTGTACACGTGTGTGTGCACATGTGTGTGTGAGTGTGTCTGTGTGTGTGTCTCTGTCTCTGTGTGTATGTGTGTGTGTTTGTGTGTCTGTGTGTGTCTATGTGTGTATTTGTGTGTGAGTGTGTATGTATTTGTGTATGTGTGTGTGTTTGTGCTCATGTGCAGAAGAGCTTTGGGGCTCCTCTCCGCCCTGTCTGCACCCACAGCCACCGCAGGCTTGTTTGCTGTGACTCCCAGTCTGCTCTTAGAGCTGAAGAACTTTTCTCTGGTTTCAGCAAAGGGTGGGAAGGGGAGATGCGTTCAGTCTCTGAGGGGTTTTCCTGTAATCCCTCATCATATGATGTAGGTCCTGCTTAAGGCGCAGCTGCAAGTCCTGCGACCCTGTTGCATTTCTCGACTGTGAGGAGCTCAGCGGCAGGAATCTGTCGGTCCAGCAGTCATTGCATTGAACTGGGGGTCAGGGAGGACTGGGAACTGTGCCCCTGCTGTCTGTCCTGTTTTGGCAGCCAGGGTCTGGAGAGAGGGACAGATCAATGAGAAGTCTCACTAGGGGAGAGTTTAGAACTGGTATTCCCTCTATTATTCTGCTGCTGTCCAAAATAATAAGAATGGATGTCACACTTTGGGGATTGCATTCTCTTTCCTGTGCCTGTCTGTCTGAATCTGCTTGATGGAAGTTGGTCAGGCTGACATCATTGTGCTGTGTCTTCTGTGAGTCAGTTGTTAGGAACCCTGGTAGGGACCTGGAGGAAATCCAATTTTCTCTCATTGGTATTTTGCTATTATTATGGTTATATTGGACATATAAAAGAACTGCTGAATATTGGAATGCCTTCCGCTGCCGGAAATATCTGTCTTCTGGAGGAAGGGAAACCGGAGCTCAGCCACCCATGCGGGGCGTTGGCTTCAGAGGCTTGAGTGGAGCGTCTGGCTGGTACAGTGGGTGGCTGTGCCACCCTGTGACCTGGGTGCGCACAGCTCTTTTGCCCAGGCCGCAGCTGTGACCACTTACCTCTGAGAATGTCAGGTCTCTCTCGGGCAGGCACCCCTAATAAATGTGGCTGGAGTCCAGATACACAACTCTGATGCGTCCTCATGTCTGTCTGTGGAGCATCCAAACTGATGGAGGCCATGGGGAGAGGGGTGCAGTGGGAGGGAATGGAGAGGATCAGGTTAGTAATTGTCTATCTAGGTGGTGGCTCCTTCTACTTATCTGGTTTCAATTCGTCGTTCATGAGTCTATTTTATTCATTAAAAAAATTAACTTAATCTTGCAAACATTCTTCAGGATAGAAATACAGGTATATCTTTCACTAAAAATCTCAAATTACATATGAAAACACTTTAGTGATTTAATTTTAGAGTTGTTAAGGAGCCCGAACATCATCTGGTTCATACTTCTCATTTTACATGTGAGGAAGATGAGGCCCAAACATTGTTAACTTTACACAGCACTAGGACCAAGAGGAGGGCAACGAACGGCCAACTCCTCATCCCCAAAGAATTTTCCATAAGAGTCCTTTATCATGCTACCCCAGTGAATATAGAATAATCTAATTAACATGCAACTTTTAAGGGATATCTTATCATTATTTTCTATAGGAAATATAAGCAGTGTGATTTAGTAAATACTGAGCAAGAAGAGAGAGGAGAGACCTATACAGGATGCTATCTACCAATGGGTCCATGTTGGTAGAATACTAGGCAGGGCAAGTACCACCCTTCCTTATAGGGTGCCCGGTCCCCTAAAAATGGAAAAGAGAGAAATGAGAGCAATTTCTTAATTCAAAAGTGTTTGACTTGCAGGACACAGTGCGGTAGAGCAGGTGTCTAAGTGAAATCCGCATACCTGACGACCAAAGGCTGCACATTTAGTCCTCTGGCCTTTAGCTGGTTGACTTCCGAGGAGCGTACAAGGCTCTGAGAGGGGAAGAAGAACGTGTTCGACTGGCCAAGCGAGTGGCGAAAGCCCTGCTGGGACTCCAGAACCCTAAGTGCATGGTTTTCTAAAGCTGTCCTCCCGGCCGCTGCTCAGATGGCTCAGTTTGCCCCAGAATTATTTTCCCTGCATGAGTAAGCCCAGACCCCAAGCCACTTTTTGGAAGAGATCTGGATCCCTGCAGGTGCCTATAAATGAATACCCCAAACCTAGACCTTGTCAGGTCCTCCTCCCGAAAGCTGCTTGATTAATCGCTTCAATCAGGCTGACTCCTGAAGGCCTACCTAGGTTCCCACGGGAAGAGGTGCCACTCCTGGGCCGTGCCCTCCCACACGGCCCTCCAGCTGAGTGCATGCTTCTAGGCTGTGGGGGAATTAATACGTTTATTTTGGGAGATCCACGCCAGGGTGGGTTGCACATCGAAGATTATAGTAATAAATGGTGCTCTGGCATGGCTCTCTCCCCACCCGCTCCCTCAGCACGGGGTGGAGGAGCAGCTCCAAGCTGTGTGCTGAGCACCACAAATAACCACTCATTAAACTGTGGCAACCCCTGCTGGGGGACGGCTGGGGCTGCTGACTCCCTGCTGCGTGAGCTGACAAGGCCCGGGATTCTGCTCTGGCTGCAGTGGGGGTACTGTTCCGGGAGACAGGGTGAGGTGGCTGAGGGGCGAGGGACAGACTAGAGGCTGGGGAGCTCTAGTCCTCTTTGGAGGCATCTGAGCGAGAAGGGGTTGGGGTTG